GGTAAGTCGGTTTCGGGGCAGGTGAGGCAAGTTCCTCGTGCCCGTTGAAGTTCTCTGCCGTCGGGTAGTAGTAATCAATCCTTGTCTATGACTCCCGCTCTTATTGTAATATTTAACACGGCGTTGCTTGAATGTCCCATGTGTGCGTGCTAGATGTCTTCGGAGGCGCGGTGTCCGGGTGAGCGTCGATACGCATCGGAGTTGGAGTAGAAGCTGGCGACGAAGTTGGCGATTCTGTGGTCTTTTCGTTGAGTTGGGTTCAGCTGCTGTGCGAGTGTTGGTGGTGCTTCGTCAACGAGAACTGGTGTCGCTGACGATGGTTCTTCTGCTGCCGATGATGTTTCTGATGCTGCCGATGTTGTCTCTGCTGCTTCTGCTGCTGCCGATGTTGTCTCTGTTGCTGCTGGATGTTGAATTGTTGCTAACGCGCGTGTTTGTTCTGCTTCAGGGATGGTATGCGAATACCAGAAGCCTTCCGGGCTGAAGTCTGGATCATGATCTGGAGTGTGCGTCCAGTCGGCGAAGTTCACGATGGCGTCGCTGTCTGCGGTGCCCAGGTCTGGGACGAAGTCAAGGACAAAAACGTTATTCTTCAGAACCGCCTTTCCGATGTAGAGGCCGCCCTTCCCGTGGTACAGTTTGAACTCCTGGGTGGTGCTGTCGGCTTCCAGGTGTATGCCTTTCGCCATCAGCTGACTGACGCTCAGTAAGTTGTAGCCGAGTTCCTCTGCTATTACCGTCACCCCCCGGATATAAGCGCCACCCTAGGATAAGCGCCTGGCGCTTCTAATTGGCATATGGCGCTTATATCCCCTGCTCGATTATAAGCGCACCCCCTGAAAAAACTTGTTTTATTATAAGCGCACGTAAACTTATTTTTTTTTAAATGTGTTCAAAACGCTTTAACGATTTCTACTTTAGCAGGCAGATGTTTTGCAGATTCGGTTCCCTTCACATTCGGACCCTGCACTGGATTCGGGTCCAGTCAGCAGGAGCTGTCATGAGCTGTCAGGAGCTGGATGTGAGTCAGATTGGGTGTACCTCCCTGCGCGCGCGAGAATTTCACAGACGACCCCATGTAGCTTCGTCTCGATTGAAAAGGCAAGCACGAGATCTACAGCATGGTGTTCAAAAATATATAAAAACATATATGTCATTTTATAAACGCCGGCGCTTATAAATTTACTCGATTATAAGCCCACCCCCCTAAAAAAACCTGCTTTATTATTGCCCCCCATGGGGGTATATCCGGGGTATGACGGTAGGACTTTCAACATTTGTAGTACGACGTTCGTCTCCCGTGACTGAAGCTGTACTATGCATTGTCGTCTTGTTCGCAGGTTCTGATTATTGGCGACGGTGATGACGACTTCTCGTTGAAGTCGGTGCTCGCGTTGAACGAAACGTCATGAAGAGCACATGTGTTGTCTGCACCAACTGTCCAAGAATCAAGTGTCTCTTCCGGATGGCTCGCTTTGAGCGATGGCGGCGTATGTCGGGTTCGGCTGAAATGACTCGCGGCGAGGTGTGGTTTCGTCAAGTCGTTCTTCTGGTGAGTAGTGCGGCGGTGATTCGGTGATGCAGGAATCTGTTGTCTTTGCCATGTAGTTGACGATGTTTCTTGCTCCTTGTGCAGGTTGTCCTGTTGGATTCGTTGAGGCTTGAATCTTTGTCGTGGGAGTTGCTTGCGTTGAAGTGACTTGGGAGCTTGAAGGCCGAAGTTGTCGCTGTGGTGTTGTCGATTGCTGGCGATACGGGCAGTGCGTACGACGATGCCCTGAAGTCTTGCAGATATGGCAAAACGGAGGTACTGGCTTCAATTGTTGTTACTGCCGATTGTTATTGTTGTAGCGTCGCTGGGTGTGAAACGCGAACTCTGGTACTGACGTTTTCTTCTTATGTCGTTCTTCTAGCAGGTCCATGTCCTGCTGTCCAGCATGGATTTCGGCGAAGAGTGCTGCTTCGGAGATTCTCCCGTGTGCCCGTAATATGGCGCGAGTGGAGCGCCAGTGAAGGCCAAGACCACCGATGACAACCGTGACAAAGGCGTCTTCTGAAATTGATCCTCCACATCGAAGAAACTTGTCGCGCAGTTCGCGGCAGCGACTGATATATGCCATGCCCTTCTCGCCTGGTTTCATTTCGATTGTTGTCAGTTGCGCCATTAACCGGCTTTGGTTTACGCTGTCTGTTGCTTGATACAGGTTCTCCAAGTGGTTGTACGCGAGCTCCGCGGAGTTACCGTAACCTCGGTAAGTCCTTATGTTCTGCTGTTGAGTCGGGTGATGTTCCTCAGTAGTATTGTGTACGCCATCATCGATTGATATGTGTACTGCTGCTTCTCATACTGCGTGCCGTTTGTTGGATATGGCAGGGACCCGTCAAAGAAGCCAAGGATCTGCGCTCCTTCCATCATCAGCTCGAATTCGAACGACCAGGTAAAGAAATCCTTCCCGTCGAAGGGTTTTGTCGTTTGTAGTTTCAGAACATGCGCGAATTGCGACTGAACTTGTAGTGCGTCCAGTGCTCTTTCTTGTCCCGGTGCAGGTTGTGGTTGCGGCATGAAGCTGACGGAGCCGCGCTGGGGCTCGTACGGAGCGAAGTTAGGTTGTTGATGTTGATTCCCGCGTGCGTAGGATGAGCCATCGAGACTCATAGGCGTCACGTTGTTGTTGTTGTTGTTGTTGTTGTTGTTGTTGTTGTTGTTGTTGTTGTTGTTGTTGTTGTTGTTGTTGTTGTTGTTGTTGTTGTTGTTGTTGTTGTTGTTGTTGTTGTTGTTGTTGTTGTTGTTGTTGTTGTTGTTGTTGTTGTTGTTGTTGTTGTTGTTGTTGTTGTTGTTTGATTGCGCAGGTACTCCTTGCTGCTCGTAGAATGACATAAAGGAGAAGAATTTCTCCATCATACTTGAATCGAAGCCCGCGACTTGGTTTGCGGGTGTTTCCGTAGACTCAGCTGCTGGTCTAGTTGTTGTCCCTTCCTCTGTTAGTAGGCTAAAGGCTGGAGGTGGAGTAAGGGTAGTACCGGGAGAGCCGTTGGAGGAATTCCTCTCATTTCTAGTAGACATGTCTTCTTGATGTATTAAGTGTTGAATAGAAAATTTTAACTTTAACCAGCTCTCATACCATGTTGGGCTGAACGCCCTAGGATCTTTAGTAGAGTTAAAGTCTGAGTAAATGATGTAGTAGCGGAAGCGTTTGAATAAAGTCCCTGAACCACCTTGCGCTAGTATGTGAAGGCAAAGTAAGTTAATTAAAGCAAAGAGATACAGGAATATATATATGAGTACAGAGAATATGAAGAGACATAATTGTAACTGTTTTACTGTTGCGGTTCGATACAGTGCGACTCGGGCAACTGCTCAATGTCGAATCAGTTGTGTGTCCTTGCTGTCGCGCTGCGTCAGGTCAAAGGTCGCTGACCTTTTGACTTTCTCGTAACCTCCAGCGGTTACGTTAATCTCCGAGGGTTGACTCGCGATGCTTCGATTTGAGCTGTTTCGCTTGTGTCTTGAGTTTCGACACGACAGAGGCGCTTAAGACTATTTGTTCCCAACATCTTCCTCCTCCTTGCCATCCTTACCCCCCTTCACCTCCAGCACTCAAAAGGGAAGTGGATGCGGCAACTGCAGGATGATGGCGAGCACACAGGCCGTGGTGGTGGCACCAGCAGTTGCAGCATAAGGAGTGAGTACAGCTTATTCTACTGCATCTGAGGGTCCTCTTGGTGTTGGTTGTTTAATATCACCTGTGCTCTGTTCTAAGCTTCCAAGTCATACCATCTCCCTTCATCCTTGCCTTGTGTTGCTCGTTCTTTCCATCTTCAGTATCCTTTTGTTATGGCGCCCTCACCTCTCTCCTTCTCCATATCACATGGCTCTGGCAACAATTGTGCAGGAAGCAGTGGGAGCAACAGCAGTGTATGGTAAGTGTGGGTTCTGCTCGCCTCTCACTTACTGCTTGCTCCACAATGGCGTTCTGAATCTTTTTTGCACCTTTTCATACCTTTGGTTCAAACAGAAAATGCGCCCAATGGTTTACAAATGCTTTGAGCAGACTCTGGCTGTTGCTGTGCTCAGCAGAGGCAGTTTGTTGGGTGTGTCTAGGTGTGTTTAGCAGTGCTTAGATGTGCTGTGCTTAGGTGTGCTGTGGTTAAATGTGTTGCGCCGTTGCTGTGCTGGATGGGCCTGCATGTTGTAGAGCAGGTGGGTGGGGTGGGCAACCTGGAAGGCTCCTGGGCCCAAACAGTCAAGCAGGAGAGAGAGTGAGAGCGGGGTGGAGCTGCCATGAGAGGCACGTGTACTGTGATGGGGAGAGAGTGGGGATGCAGAGCACCCACCCACCTGCGCTGCATGCAGCTTGCATGCATACACAGAGCAAGTCACCACAAACCGGATCTCGGTCAGGCAAATCCTTCTCACACACAAGCAGGTATGGCAGTGACTGACAAGAAAAACGATTGGTCACATTTCCTGGAGTACAGGAGTGGTCAGGGGTATATACCCACCACTTTTAATCGCAATGCTGCTGCTGCAACAAGAGCAGTGACTGCGGTGCAGCAAGGGCAGGAAGCTACCCAACATGACAGTTGCTGTATCGCTGCATTCCTCTCCACTTGTCACTGAACAAGAAAGGCTCTGCGGGCTTTTCCCTGTGCTGGCCGAGCAGCCATCCATGTCTGCACCCACAGTCGTTGTCATGCCATAGCCACCAACCATCCAGCCAGCCAGCCTACCAGCCTACTAGCCTACTAGCCAAACCTCTGACCAGCCAGCCAGCTAACGTGATGGGAGGGTGCAGATGGTGGTGGTGGTGACAGGGACTGACAGTGAAGCAATTCCATACTGTGTGGGCATTGGGCTCAGTATATAGTTTCTGGTGCAGCCTGCAAGACAATCAAAAGTAGAGAGAGACACGCAGAGCAACCCTCCAACAACTGTCAACCCAGCAGAGGTATTACACAGAATTCCAGTGCCCAATCAACACGGCATGTGGTTGTCATTGTCAGTCCAGCAGTGGTGGCATGCCCCACACATCCAGCACCAGTCCCGGTGCGGGTAAGGGGTCTCCACAATTGTTCAAGCCCCCCCTCGCCAGCCCCTTGTGCACCGCCACCGCCACTGCCACCACCTCCCCTGCCTCCTCCCCTTCCTCCTCCTCCCCGTGCTCCTCCCCCTGCTCCTCCTCTCCCTCGTCCTTCTCCCCTCCTGTCCTCTCCCCAACGTGGTGGGCGCGGGTGCTGGCACGGGGGAGCAGCAGCAGGGCAGCAGCGGGAGCACCTGCGCCCTGGTCGTACGTGCCGTGCAGCAGAGCGCTGTCACACGCCGATGCCACCATGGCATTGGATGGCGGTGAGTTGGAGGTTGTGGTGGATAGCGTGGAGGTGGAGGAGGCGTGTGTGGCGGAGAGGCGGGAGTGGAGGGTGGAGAGGCGGCCGTAAGTGTATGCCAGGATGCCTGGTTGAGACGCCCCGAATATGGTGCGCGGCAGGTCACACACCTGTGGGGGGTGGGGGTGGGGATGGGGATGGAGAAGGGGGGGGGGCATGCGTGGGAGAGAACCTGCCATGTACCTGGGGGCATGGTTGAGGAGAAGGAAGCGCAAGCGCACACCTGAGGGGAGCCCAGTGGGGTGTCGTGGCGGGCGAAGGAGTTCCAGCAGAAGGCATCCGTGTGTATCAGCAGCACCCGCGCGTCCCCTTCCTCCCCCTCCCTCTCTTCGCCCACAACCCGCTTCCCGGCAGCCAATGCCATGCTGACAGCTGGCATGGAGCCGCGTGCGAAGGGCACGGGGTTGGCAAGAGGAGGTGGGGTGACCTGCACTTGAATATGAGCGGGTGGCTCAGGGGGGGCACTCTCTGCCTCTGCCTCTGCCTCTCCCACCGCCTTGTCATTCTCCGTGCCCCCCTTGGCCAACTGCTGAGCGGCGTGCAGGAGGGAGTGCGTGGGTAGGCAGAGCTGCACGTGGTGCACAAACACTAGTGGGCCTGCTTCCACCCCATGGGGGGTGTGCGTGGCCCCACTAGCTGTGTGTGTGCCACTGCTTTGAGCGCCCGCAAGGGAGAATGCCACCACTGCATCGACTTGCACACCCATGCTGCCATTGCTGCAGCCACCACTGCTGCTGCGGTTGCTGCTGCCACCGCGGCTGCTGTTTCTAGCACTGCCGTTGCTGCTGCTTGGCGCATTGCTGAAGGTGCTGTGAACGGCTGCTATGGCGAGAGGCGTGGATGGTGATGGTGTAAGCTGCGAGATGCACAAGGGACGGCCCACACACACGCATGCAGTGCTAAAAGCACCAGCACCGCTACCATTATTATCCGCTGGGGAGTTGGAAGCGTGATGAGCAGGGAGAGGAGGCAGAGAGCAGACTAGCACCCGACCCATGAGCCCACATGATTGACCCTTGCTGCTCCCCCTCTCCCCTCCACCCTTGCTGTGCCTGCTTGCTTCTTCGTCTGCCCTCTGCCCATCTCCACCACTTGCTTTTGTGGAGTCATCAAGAAGGTGGTTACCACTTGGAATGTACGCCTCTACACCCACCACCACCACTCCAGACCCATCCACTCCCCTCTCCTCATCCTCCCCATGCTTTGGGCTCTTCCCTTGCTGCTGCTGCTGCTGCCGCTGCTGCTGTTTACTGCTAATCTCCCCATCCTCGTTAGAAGCTGGTCCCTCCAGACCAACAGTGCTCCACGCGACTGAGGAAAGCTGCGTGCTACTGCCAGCCTGCTGCGGCATACGCTCTGGAAGGTCTATCCTCGATATAAGAGTGAGAGCTAGCGAGTCATAAGCGAGCCACAGGAGGATATGGCCGCCACACGCATCACTGGCTACCAGCACAACCCCGTCCACACCCGTCCTCCTCCTCCTACTTCCCTCTCCCATCCCATCTCCTCCTGCCCCTCCTCCCTGAAACGTGCCATCTCTGACAGCCACTGTCATGCCGTACAGCAGGTCTAACACACTCACAGATGCCACCCGCCCAGATCCCACCTGCTCAGACCCCACCTGTCCAGTTTGAGTCTCTCCCCCCTTGCGATCAGCTCTACCCCCCTTTCCACTTTCCACCTCACAAGCAGACAGAAGTTCCCCGCCCGGCAGTGGGTTGCTGTTGATCACTGTTTCAGGCGGGTGGGCGGCAGGGAGGGATGGGGCGATTTGAACAGTGTAGACAGGGGAGGAGGGCGGGTCCAGTGGGCTGTCTGGTAGCCAATGGATGGTTAGGATGGCAAAGGAGTGCGAGGAGGAGGAAGAGGAGGAGGAGGAGGAGGAGGAGGAGGAGGAGGAGGAGGAGGAGGAGGAGGAGGAGGAGGAGGAGGAGGAGGAGGAGGAGGAGGAGGAGGAGGAGGAGGAGGAGGAGGAGGAGGAGGAAAAGTTATGCCAAGCCACACCATATCTCGTGGAGTTGGCGGGCAGTGGAATGACGGCCACGGCAGGACGAGAGAAGGGGGGAGGCGGCGAGGCGACGTCATCAGCGTAGGGAGCGTGGGTGGCGAGGTGGGAGGAGGGCGCGGTGAAGAGGCGGAACATGATGGGGTCGATGTTGGAGGCGAAGCGGAATCCGGGCGTGTGGGTGAGGTTGGCTGAGAGGTACACGTCTGCAAACATGGCAAATGCCCTCTCGTCCTGGTGGTGGGGCGAGGTGGGGCAGGGCATGAAGGAATGCGGGAATGGATGGCAAGGGAGCTGGATAGTGCAAGGCAATGGCATACTGACAGGCAAGTTGCATATGACTCGAGCAGCAGCAAGGGCACAGGAGTGCTACTTAAGAATCTCACTTGTATCTCACTTGTATCTCGTGTGAAGCTCACTTGAGGCTCACCTGAGATTCACCTGAGGCTCGCCTGAGGCTCACCTGAGATTCACCTGAGGCTCACCTGAGGCTCGTAGAGCACGAGGGCATAGGGCGAGTCCTTGAACTTCATGAACTGCTGCTGCGCTGCTGCCGCCCACCAGGTGAATGTGGCGTCATGGTTGAGCACCTGACACAGGTGAATGTGGCGTCATGGTTGAGCACCTGACACATGTGAATGTGGCGTCATGGTTGAGCACCTGACACAGGTGAATGTGGCGTCATGGTTGAGCACCTGACACATGTGAATGTGGCGTCATTGTTGAGCACCTGACACATGTGAATGTGGCATCATGGTTTAGCACCTGACACATGTGAATGTGGCATCATGGTTTAGCACCTGACACATGTGAATGTGGCGTCATGGTTGAGCACCTGACACATGTGAATGTGGCGTCATGGTTGAGCACCTGACACATGTGAATGTGGCGTCATGGTTGAGCACCTGACACATGTGAATGTGGCGTCATGGTTGAGCACCTGACACATGTGAATGTGGCATCATGGTTTAGCACCTGACACAGGTGAATGTGGCGTCATGGTTTAGCACCTGACACATGCCCACCGCAGCGGGTAAATGTGGACTCATGCCACACATGCATGAACATGCCACGTTTCAAGTGTACCTCATGCCATCAATGAATGTACATGTCTGGCGCACCCCTGCCACACCTGTCACATGCCATGCGCCACATGCTGCATGCCTGGAAGCGGTCGGAGGCATCATGCGGGTCGTTGGTGGTGGCGGGGCGGCTGGTGAGGTCGTTGTCGTCCCATGCTATCACCCACGGTCGCCACCGCTGCGCCACACACTTTCCACCCATCTGCTCACGAGGGCGGGGGAGAACCCGGGGGAAGAAAGGGTGAGGGTGGGTCTGATGGGGGTGGAAACGGGACACAGAGGAGTTGAGGGCGGCAGTGGGAGGCGAATACACCAGCACGGACGCATAGGGAGAGATGCTGTCATGTGGTTGAAGGAGACGCTTAATAATGCACCTCGAAAGAACAATCCAGAGCAGGCGTGTGTGAGGGGCTCACGTCGTTGAGGAAGAACTCGGTGTTGAGGTGGAGCTCTTGCAGGGCGGTAGAGGCGCGCAGGAAGAAGTCGTCAAACAGCCTCATCCACTGCCGCACTGCCTCGTCCCCCCACCTTATGCCGTCTCCCCCCTGCCTTGCCCTGCTCGCTGCAGATGTACCTGCACCAGATTCGCCTGTCTCAGATGCACCTGTCCCAGATGCACCAGATGCGCCTGCATTGGCGGTGTTGTTTTTACTGGATAAATCTGTACCACGTGCCATCCCTCTCAGCACTCTCGTGCTGCTGCCACGTGGCACCGTGGGGCGCATTCTGATGGCCTTCTCTTCAGCAACGTCGCCACGTGGCAAATCATGACTGGTGACTTGAGCTGACATGGCAGCGCGGGTGTGATTGGTGGTGCAGAGGAGTGGACGGTTCTTGGGGCACAGCTGGCTTGGCGGGTTGTAGGACGAGTGGGGAGAGAGGGGGAGGGTGAGTTGGAGGTTTGAACGAGTGGTGCCAAACAGCGCATGTGAATGAGGTAGCATAATGAGACAGAGGAGTTGAGAATTACTGCCATGTGCATTTGTTAGCCACGCATGCAAATTCTAGCCCCCCACGCCCCATGCCACATGCCCCACACTCCACGCCCCACTCCGCACTCCGCACTCCGCACTCCGCACTCCGCACTCCGCACTCAGCACTCCGCACTCAGCACTCAGCACTCAGCACTCAGCACTCCGCACTCCGCACTCCGCACTCCGCACTCCGCACACCCACCCTACCTGGATGTAGAGCCGTGGGCGCGGATACGTCAGAAGCCCGCGATTGGCCGGGTCACGGAGGAACGCGATGACGTCATCGCTGGTGTTGAGCTGGCGGCTGAGCCACGTCAGCGAGTGCACCAATCCGAAGCAGCCATGTGGGTTGTACTGCCAGTGCGGCCCCACCTGTGATGAACACGGAAGGCAGAGGAGGACAGAGAGAAGAAGGAATGGAGGGATGGAGAAGGGGTGCGGTGGGGGGGGAAAGGGAAGAGGAGGGATGATGAGATGAGAGTGAGAAAGGTGGGAGGAGCGAGGATGGAAGCAGGGGAGGACGGTAAGGGGAGGGCAGGAAGCAGCACGGGGAAGGAAGTCCCTCTTTGCCCCTCGCCCCTCGCCCCTCGCCCCTCGTCCCTCGTCCCACCTGCAGGGCGCATCTGAGAGGGGTGCCGCACCTGCAGTTTGCACCTTGCGGGCGGCATCCAGGAAAAGTCGATTTTGACGTACTCCACGCCCTTCACCAGCGCCGCGCGCCACTCGCGCACGTCGTTCCACCCGTGCGCCAACAGCCCTATCGTTGCGCGCCGAGCCTCCTCCTCCTCATCCTCATCCGCATCCTGCTGCTCTTCCGATTTCCCCTCGCCCCCTTCCTCCCCCAGCCCCTCGCCGCCTCTGCTCCCGCACACGAGCACTAGCAACGCCAACAGCAGCAGCAGGACTATCAGCCGCCGTGCGGGTGCGGGCGAGCGGGGTGAGAGCCGCTGAAAGGCATTGGAGGCCTGCAGGGCTGTCGTCGCCATCGTCTGAACTCTCAACTTGCGGGGCCGCCGTCACGGGCGCCAACAGCCCTATCGTTGCGCGCCGAGCCTCCTCAACTTGCGGGGCCGCCGTCACGGGCGCCCCTCGAGAATGAACGCGCGCGAGAGCTCTAAAAGAAACTCGCGTGAGGTCGCGCGAGATGCGGAGCGGCGATGGCCTGCCAGTCGCAATACCTGACGAACGGCGAGATCGGGTTTTGTGCTTTCGCACTACATCGTGTGTCCCTGCTTGTGCTTTTGCGTGCTTGGATTTGTACGCGTATGCGAGGCCCCGTTTGTGCAACATGCTGAATATGTACGCGTACGAGAGGCCCCGTTTCGTGAATTGTAGCAGTAGAGCAGAGCAGAGTAGTTGTACTTTGGTTATGAAATTTCGGCATCTTTGATCGTTCGTGTCGATTGGAACAACCATCGCTGTTCCCAGATTGGTCCTCGGCAGAGACAGCGGCAGGCGAAAAACATTTCACCCAATCCCGTACCAGCATCGCCCGCAGATCTCTCCTCACATTCATGCTGGTGCGTGTCACGCGCATTCGCTGCACCCTTGGGATCTCCGTGCGCCAGGAATATCTCTCACCCCCGTCTCCGCCACCGCCACTTCCTCAACTCCCCCTCCACACCCCAGATCCACTCCCCTCCCCCCTTCCCGCCTCGACCGTTCTCCACCCCTTCCTGATTGCGGCTTGCTTCGGAGACAGCAGCAGTAGCACCTCGAGATTGGACAGACAAGCAGCCTCCTGGTCTACCTGCCTCTCTGCCTAACAAGCTGCAGCAGTAGCGGGACGTGCGTGCTGCTTCGCTTCTGTGCGTCCGCTTGCCTGCAGCTCACCACGTGGCCGGATCTGCTGTGCCTCGTCGTTGCTTTCTCCGATTCTTCGGATTCCAGTCGACAGCCTCGGCGCTTTCTCTCGCGTCGAATCGCCAGCCTGGTCTCTAGGAGCTCGAAGCGATTCACCGTGCAGCTATCCAGACAGCTTATATCGAATCATACCGTAGCAGCAGCCATGGCGTCGCGTCGTCACCTGCAGCACGCGGTCCCCGTGCCCGCCATCCGCCGCCTGCTCGCCGCGTCCACCGCGCCGGTGGTTCCGCAGGCTGCGCCCGCAGCGGCAGCGGCGGCGCTGCATGTTCAGGCGGCTGGCGGACACGCGGTGAATGCGCAAGCTAAGGAGATCCGATCCGCATCGTACACCACCAGCAGCATCAGGTGCGGAATAGCATCAGGTGCGGGATAGCATCAGGTGCGGGATGGAATCTATGGCTTCCCATTCTCCTCTCACTCGCTAACCTGCACTCTCTCCATCCATCCTGGTGCATCACAACCCTAATCCGGCATAGGAAATCACGGATCCGCTGAAGCAACAGTCGTGAACGGCCGTTTGATCCCCATCTCGCTAATATGAACCAACTGTCGAGCCTTGCTTCGCCTTCCTGCGTCAAGCAGATCGAAGAGCGTTACCGGACGCTCATACGCGCGCCTGAGGCCTTCCGAGTTCGCACTTTCTGTGTGCCGATTGGGAAAGAAACTCGTTACGTGTGCCGCTACCCGCGTTAGGGTTGCACGCCCTGGTGCAGCACGCCTTAGCCCTGCGCTGTATACACTGCACGCATTCGCGCTGCATACGGGGTATGATGCACCGCGTTTGCGATTACTCATGTCGTGTCGAGTGCCCTCGTGTCCTGTCGTCCCCATTTCCCCTTCCGCAGCTCCCCGCTCATCCCCGCTTCCGCCCGTTCCGCCTCCGCCGCCAAGCCTTCCGCTCTGCTCGATTCCCGCGCGCCATCCGCACACCATGCGTCTGTGTCGCTGCCGGGGATGTCCTTCCGCTGGAACTCTGCGCGCAAATTCTCCGCCGCCGCCGCCGCCGCCTCCGCCTGTACGTGTCTTGACGTCGCCTGCATGTCGATCGCGACAAATAAGAGTCAGCAGATTCGTTTTCTCCAATGCGATTTGATTGCAACGGTGTCCCGGACGTAAACGACAATGCGTGTCCATTCCGCCCCCCATGTCACATCTCCTCCCCCGTCTCCCTCCGTGCCGCACTGCAGTTCCGCCTCACCAGCCCGTCGCCATGGTGACTTTTGTGTCGACTCAAAAGTCATTCCGTCCCTCTTGTCACATACATCTCTTTCCCCCCCCTCTCCATGCCGACATGCAGTTCCGCCCCACCAACCCGTCGCCATGCCGTCGCTCTCCCCCACCATGACGCAGGTTGGTACTGGGCCAGGTCGGTACTGGGGCAGGTGTCACCGGGCTGGTGACTGCTGGGGCGGGTGAGAGCTGAGGCAAGTTGCCGGGCTGGTGGCGGGTTGGTGCTGGGTCGGATTAGTTGGTAAAGGTGGCAGGTGAGGTGGCTGATGAGCATTGCAGCACAGCAATGCAGCACAGCAATGCAGCACAGCATTGCACGGGTGGGGGGGGTAGGGCTTTTCTGTCCACCTGCCACCCACACCTCACACACACACGCTCCCCTTCCTCCCCCCCCTCTCCCGCCCGCCCTTCCCCCCAGGGCAACATCGCCAAGTGGTGCAAGGCGGAGGGCGAGCAGGTGAACGCGGGCGACGTGCTGTGCGAGATCGAGACGGTGAGTTTGTTGCGCGTGGAACGATTCCGGTTGTTGTTGCTTGCAGACAGCATGTGTGCTGCACATGCGGGACAGACAGCATGTGTGCTGCACATGCGGGACAGACAGCATGTGTGCTGCACATGCGGGACAGACAGCATGTGTGCACATGCATTTGACAGGCATGCGATCTCACAAGAGCACCCCTTTTGTTGCTATGCCATGTCATGGCGCGTCTGTGCATGGCATGTCTGTGCACCCCTTTTGTTGACATGACATGACATGACATGGCATCATGTTGCATGGTGGTACTACTACATGATATGACATGTGTATTAATCATGGTCATGCATCATGATTCATGTGGTTTTGGGGGGATGTTACATGTCTCATGTGGCATGCGTCATGCATGCCTGCACCATGCACCATGCACCATGCATGCACCCACGGCAGGACAAGGCGACGCTATCAATGGAGAGCATGGAGGACGGCTTCCTCGCCAAAATCCTCATGCCCGAGGGCTCCAAGGACATCCCCGTCGGCACTGTGAGTCACACACAGTCACAGCCAGTCAACGCCAGTCAACTCCAGTCAACGAGGAAGATATTTATTAGCAGATTCAGGTCACCCCAGGGCTCCAAGAACATCCCCATTGGCAAGTCAACCAAGAGGACCAAGCGGGCCGATCAGTTGATTGACACATAAGAATCTTCTGAATTCTACTGTGTTGCACACATCCTTCTTTGTCTCACCAGAACTTGTGTTTTGTGCCGCACCTGCCTTACAGCTACCATGTTTATCCTCCCACCCCATATCATCCTGCCCTCTGCCACCCTCAGCTGATAGCAGTGATGGTGGAGGACACCACCGAATTGTCCAAGGGCTTACCCTCTCCCCTCCCCCATCAGGGCTTACCCTCTCCCCTCCCCCATCAGGGCTTACCCTCTCCCCTCCCCCATCAGGGCTTACCCTCTCCCCTCCCCCATCAGGGCTTACCCTCTCCCCTCCCCCATCAGGGCTTACCCTCTCCCCTCCCCCATCAGGGCTTACCCTCTCCCCTCCCCCATCAGGGCTTACCCTCTCCCCTCCCCCATCAGGGCTTACCCTCTCCCCTCCCCCATCAGGGCTTACCCTCTCCCCTCCCCCATCAGGGCTTACCCTCTCCCCTCCCCCATCAGGGCTTACCCTCTCCCCTCGTCCTTCACATGTCCTTGCCTCCAACAATCCCCTCCCATCATTCTTCCCCTTTATCGCGCGCAGCTGATAGCAGTGATGGTGGAGGACAACACCGAGCTCGCCAAATTCGCATCCTTCACTGCTGCTGACGCCGGTGCCTCCGCGCCCCCTGCCGCTGCTGCCCCGGCCGCTCCCTCCGACGCTGGCTCGTCCACACCCCCATCAGGTGCACGGGAGAAGAGAGGGGCTAGAGGTGGTGACGGGAGAGTGGTGGTGTGAGAGGCGGGGCTGAGGTGGGGAGGAGAGAAGCAGGGGCGAGGTGAGGAAGTGGACAGCGGAGGTTGAGATGGGTTAGGAGGGGGAAGGGAGGTGGGGGGGGGGGGGGGGGGGGGTTTGCGGAGAGGAGGAAAGGCGGGATGAAGAACGGTTGCGGGATTGTGGGGCACGGTGGTTGCTTGCTCCTCCTTCTTGTTGCCTCTACTTCCTGCGCCAACACTGACATCTTGTCCCTTGCCACCCACCCATGCTTGCCGTGCAGATTTGCCACCCTTCCATTCGCTCGCCATGCCATCGCTCTCCCCTACCATGACCCAGGTGCTTACTGCTCATGTGCTTGCTCGTTGTGTGACCCGCGTGTTGTTCATGTGCGGTTCATGTGCCATGCCATCGGCTTTACCTGACCCAGGTACTCTTCCTGTGCATGCTCTTACCCACCGCATCCATTCCAATCCCATCCCAAACAAGTCCATTCCATCACACGGTGAAACCATGTCATCCCTCACCCATGCCATGGGCCCCCTTCCCCCTCTCTTCCCACCTCCTCTCCATTCCCGCTCGACCCTTCCCTTTCTAATCAATTCTTCCCCGCCCGCCTCCAACAGGGCAACATAGTGCGGTGGCGCAAGTCAGTGGGCGACGCGTTGGCAGCGGGGGAGGTGCTGTGCGAGATCGAGACGGACAAGGCGACCCTGGAGATGGAGGCCATGGACGACGGCTTCCTCGCGTCCATCCTCGTGCACGCCGGCGCCAAGGACGTTGCCGTCGGCACGGTGAGTTGGATGGGTCGCACTGAGTGGCGCATGTGCGTTGGATGGGTCGCACTGAGTGGCGCATGTGCGTTGGATGGGTCGCACTGAGTGGCGCATGTGCGTTGGATGGGTCGCACTGAGTGGCGCATGTGCGTCGGATGAGCTGGTACACGCCGTGTGCGTGCATGTGCCTGCGCACTGGGTGATGCGTGCATGGCGCATGGCGCGCTCGTCTCCCCCTTAGACTGCATCCGCCAGACTGATCAGCTCAGCAGTAGCCACCAGGGGCTCTTCCAGCAGCAGCAGAATAACATCTTCAGTTGATTCAATCCCCATGCCCTCCCGCTCCTTCTCCCCTCTAACCTCTCCCCTCTCCCTGCGCCCCTCTCCCCTCTCCCATCCCCCTTTCCCACTTGTTGCCCCCATGAGCCCATCGCTGTGATAGTGGACGATTCAGAGAGCGATCCCAAGTTTGCCAACTACATGCCGCCCTCTGCGTCCGCCCAACACTTTCCCTCTTCCCTTTACCTCTCCCGTTTCCCTCTCCCCCTTCTCTCTCCTCTTTCCCGCTCCCATTTTCCCTCTGCTCCCCCCCCCCTGCCCCCATCAGCCCATCGCCGTGATAGTGGATGACTCAGAGAGTGTCCCCAAGTTTGCCAACTACACGCCACCCTCCACGCCCGCTGCTGCTGCTGCCGCCCCCGCTGCTGCTGCTGCTGCTGCTGCTGCTGCTGCTGCTGCCCCGGCTTCGCCTTCCCCCCCGCCTGCTGCACCAGCGGCGCCAGCAGCGGCTGCCGCGCCCCCTCCCCCTCCCCCTGCGCGGGCAGAGGGCGCGAGGGTGTTTGCTAGCCCTGCTGCGCGCAAACTGGCTGCAGAACACAAGGTGGGTTGGGAGGGGATGTAGAGGGGGGTCTGGGATGGGTGGCGGGGGGAGGGGGTGTAAGGGGTTGGGGCACCAGGGATGAGGGGAGAGGTCGAGCAGAGGGCGCGAGGGTGTTTGCCAGCCCTGCTGCGCGCAAACTGGCTGCTGAACTTCTGAGTCGACTCAAAAGTCACCTTGTTTGCCAGCCCTGTTGCGCGCAAACTGGCTGCTGAACACAAGGTCCGTGGGAGGGGATTGGAGAAGGGGAATGGGGTGTGAGAGCGCGCGACTGACATTGGAGAAGCGAACAGATAAGGGGTTGGGAAGGGGGATGGGGTGTGAGGGTGAGAGTGTGACAAGGGGCAGTGAGCAGTGGAGTGTTTGAGAGAAAGCATCCCCCATGCGTCCTCCCACATATGCTCCTCCGCCCGTCTGTCCTCCCTCCTCCACGTCAGGTGGACATGGCATTGGTGGCAGGGTCGGGTCCCAACGGCCGTGTGCTGAAGGAGGACGTGGAGGCCTTCCTCTCGCAGCCGCGCCCTGTCGCTGCTGCTGCCCCCTCCACTGCACCTGCTGCTGCCGGTGCTCCCGCTGCTGCTGCTCCTCCCGCAGCAGCCATGTCAGCCAGTGTGGACGAGCTCAGGAAGGTGAGGCATTGGTACTTGCTGTAGGTATTAGTACTGGTGCCGGTGCTTGTGCTGGCATGCTGCTTGTGCTCCTGCCGCTGCTGCTCTTCCAGCAGCGGCCATGTCAGCCAGTGTGGACGAGCTCAGGAAGGTGAGGCGTAGGTACTTTCCTCGCAGCCCCCATCCCTGCTGCTGACTCCCCGGCTGCACCTGCTGCTCCCACTGCTGCTGCTGCGCCTGCAGCGGCCATGTCAGCCAGTGTGGACGAGCTCAGGAAGGTGAGGCGTGCACCCTCCTGCTGTAGGCACTCTCCTCGCAGCCTCCACCCCTGCTGCTGGCCCCCAACTCCGCCTGTTGCTGCTGCTGCTCCTGGTGCCGGCGCTCACTCTGCTGCTGCTTGCAAGTCAGCCATATCTCCTTCCATGTCTTCTGCGTAGTAACTCTCCCTTCCGCCTCTCCCCCTCGTGTGTGACAGCGAGTGGCGGAGCAGATGCAGCCGTCAATCCAGACGGTGCCGCACTTCTACCTCTCGGCTTACGCTCATGCCCCCCCCCCCCCCCCTTTTCCCGCCTCTTGTCCCCTCTCTCCCTCTCCCCCCCGTGTGTCACAGCGAGTGGCGGAGCAGATGCAGCTGTCCATTCAGACCGTGCCACACTTCTACCTTTCTGCTGACGCTCCCCTCAATGCTGCCGCCAAGTGCGTTCCCTGCACTCAGCATGCACTCAGCATGCACGCACATGCACGCACATGCACGCACATGCGCGCACACACACATAAAGGTTGAGCTACCATTTACAGACGCTTGTGCTTGCTTGCACACACCATTCACACGTGCACACACATTTGCTTGCCTACACGCAGTCTAATTTGACCTCCCTCTTTCTCCTAGCCCATGTAATGTCTCGACTTCAATTTCTGCCACAACACATGTCATCTCTGCATCTCTGTACATCTCTCTGCATCTCTGTGAACCTCTCAGGGTGTTGGAGCAGCTGAATGCAGCATCTGATGTGCAGGTCACCTCTACCGCTCTACTCATCAAGGTATGTGGCACTCTCGGGCATGGCATGTCCCATGCATGTCTTGTGCATGCGCTGCTATTTGTACGTCACACAATGCCCGCGTCCACCTACACAATCTTTCTTTCTTCAACCCTTTTTTCCTGCATTGTACAACAACAGGCTGCAGCGCTGGCTTCCAAGAAGGTTCCTGCATGCAACAGCTCCTGGGGTGGAGAGTTCATTCGCGAGTGAGTCACTTGCTGCCCGCCCCGTGGGCCTTTGTATGACATATACAACAACAAGATGCCTCACCTGCAGGAACATGCCTCACCTGCAGGACGATGCCTCACCTGCAGGACGATGCCTCACCTGCAGGACGATGCCTCACCTGCAGGACGATGCCTCACCTGCAGGACGATGCCTCGCCTGCAGGAAGATGCCTCGCCTGCAGGAAGATGCCTCGCCTGCAGGAAGATGCCTCGCCTGCATGAACATGCCTCACAGGCAGACCCCCTGCCTGCCTGCCTTCCTGTCTCTCTGCACGCAGCCATTCGTGTATCCCTGCCCACCATCCATCACAATGGAATATGGTGTGTGTGGCTCAGGCATGGCTGTCGGTATGTATGTCTAATCATGTGTGTGTCCCATGTGCATGTGCGTCCCCCATGCCTCTGTGTGCATGTGCGTCCCCCATGCCTGTGTGTGCATGGCATGGCATGGCAGGTACTCCGATGTGAATGTGGCGATCGCTGTCTCCACACCTGACGGCACTTTGTACCCCGTCATCAAGGTAACGAGCTGTCATCATGTAACGCCGCGTAATGGTAACGCCGCGGCCGCGTAATGATAACGCCGTATAATGGTAACGCCGGGCCGCGTAATGATAACGCCGCGTAATGGTAACGCCGCATAATGGTAACACCGCGTAATGGTAACGCCGCGAAATGGTGACGCTGCGTCATTGTAACGCCATGCTTTACCATCCCTTTTCAGCTGCTCATGTCTTGTCTTCTCACCCATCCTGCACCCTGCACTCATTCCCCCTGCCCCCTGCCCCCTGCCCCCTGCACCATACGTGCTGCTGCGTCCCTGCAGGCGGCCAACACCAAGGGCCTGGCCCAGATCGCATCGGAGATCAACCGCCTCTCCACTGCAGCTGCGGAGAAGACTCTCTCCGAAGCTGACCTCCAGGTTCGTAACTCCTTCGGTCTAAGTATGGTTACAGGCTCGGTGTCATGTGTGCGGATCAAGGGGTTAATCACCTGATTGATTAATGAGGTTGGCTCGGAGAATGCTGGAGGGCAATGCCAGTCAAGGTGATATCAATGCATGACGGTGGGGTGAGCTTCACCTTGACTAGCATGGTGGGGAGCGGGGCACACGGTGGGACGAGCTTCACAATCCAAAAGCAGGCAGTCACATGTTGGCTAGGAACAAAGACGGGTTTCAGAAGTCATGCCTTTCTTGCCACCCTCCTCCCCACGCTCACAGGGTGCAACATTCACAGTGTCGGATGTGAGTGGAGCAGGCCTCAAGTCTCTCTCCGCCATCATCCACCCCCCCCAGTCCTGCTTCCTCACCATCGGCTCTGGTAAGTGTGCCTCTGCTCCTCATCCTCCCCCCGTGCTTGCTCTTACACCGCATGTGCTTACACTGCATGTGCTTACACTGCATGTGCTTACACTGCATGTGCTTACACTGCATGTGCTTACACTGCATGTGCGCTCGCACCTCGTGTGCTCACACACACCTTATCGATCAGCAATTTATGCAATCATGCATCACATGGTCACTCATTTTCTGCACCTCACTCCCCACCGATCTCTCACATCCTGCCACTGGCGTGCCTGTCACCCTCTGCAGCGCAAGAAAGGGTGGTGCCAGGAGCAGCAGAGGGGGAGTTCGCGGTGCAGCCCTTCGCTACAGTCACTCTCAGCTGCGACCACCGCGTTGTCGACGGTACGTTGTGGGTGGTATATCTCGGATGGGCCTCGGATGGCATGTGGATTGGCCTCCGGCCATAAGTCAAGCCTCCATTCACTTAATTGCAATGAAAACCGCGTATCTTGCGAACGAGCTTTTGGGTGAACAGATCAACTGGGTCATTCTGTATTCTTCTACTGATTCTCTTCTGTTCCCCCCTCTTCCATTGTGGTGTTGCAGGGGCGGTGGGAGCGCAATGGATGGGCGAGTTCAAGTCGTTGCTCTCCAACCCCATCACCTTGCTCCTCTAGTTATCAACCATTAGTAGATTCTTGCTCGTTACCTCATCGTCGCCACTCCCTAGCTCGCTATATGTTTCCAAGTACCGGTGATGCAGAAATTGCTAGCAGCATATTGGTCCAGGTGCGGATGGTCTTAGAACATGTGGCTGACCAGTGCGTGCTGGTTCTCATACTGAAGGAGCTAAGCAAGGGAAGGGTTAGAACAAAAATTGTGTTCTGATCTAGTATAAAAATGTTAACATAGATGCGGCGGATTTTATCAACTGTAATATCTGAAACGCGTCACTGCACAACAAGTCAACGCGTTTGCATGTGATTTATCACAACAACCATCCGAGTCTGGGTCCAGAAACCTGCCATGCCATGATGACTGCCATGCAGCTGAACCTGCCTCCCCATACTACACGGATTCAACACACCGCACCGCATCATCTCCCAACCTGGCCCAGCCTACTGAATTCCCGCCTTACCTGCTGACTTCGTGCGACCTTTTCCTTCGCCCGCTCATCCATTCGTGCGACACACGCGTGGGTGAAGCGCGCCGAGCTTCTCACGCCAGAGGATCCTTCTCGGCACCCCCTGAGTCAATTAAAAGCCAGTTGCTTTATGATACCGATCGCGGACCACCATTGAAGCGCCTCTTAGGTTGCTTGCCGCTAGGGGATCCTATAAGGTGCTTCACGTTTTAGCGGCTGCTGACGCAGTGTCGAGTTTATTGCTTCTAGTGGACTAGCCTCTAGTGGTGTGGCTTCTAGCGGTGCGGCTTCTAGCGGTGCGGCTTCTAGTGGTGCGGCTTCTAGCGGTGCGGCTTCTAGTGGTGCGGCTTCTAGTGGTGGAGATTAAAAAGCCTAGTTAACGGATGCAGGATCCTAGTTAACGGCTAGTAGAGTCGATCCGACGGAGCGGCGCGCATGGCGGAGTGGCGCACGTCGACCCACTGCAGCCGTTGGATCTTCAGCGCCGCTGAGCTGGCGACGATGCGCGCCAAGAACAACCAGCGGGCCGTCGATGCCATTCAAAAGGTGCGCGAAGAAGAGGCGTGCGCGGGAAAGGGGTCGATGCTACTCAGAGCGTGTTGGGAGGGTAGAGATGGTGGCGTGGAATGGGAGTGAACGGACGGGCTGGATGGGTTGTAGCCTTCTAGATTCTATTCTTCTTACTGCTGCCTTTCCCATTCCCTTCATCCCTTCATGTCCTTTTTGTGATTTCTCTTACTCCGACACGCGGTCACCCCTGGTCAACGCTGGTCAACGCGCTCAGCACGGCCACAGCAGAGTGGAACCGTCGACCAACCCCGCCCTGGTTGAGTCCAGGGGCCAATCAGACGCCGCCACGTCAGCGGACGGCCACACCACAGCAGCAGTGGCAGCGGGAAGAGGGGCGAACGGGGAAGGCAATCGGGGGATAGGGCAGGCGGAAGCAGGAGGAGGAAGGACGGGGGAAAGTGGAGGAGGGACCAATGGGGCCAATGGGGGGAACGGGGCGGATGGGGCGGGAGGGGAGGTGCCGCGGCCGAAGGCGTTGAGCGAGGAGGAGGAGAGGGTGATGTGTCGGTACTACGAGGGCAAGATCCAAGAAGTCTGTGCCGCCTTCCGCTTCCCCTACAAGATCTACGTGCGTTGCAAGTCAAGCTTTCTGCTTTCTGCTTTCTGAGATTGTGCGTGCTGGGCCATTGTGGTCCAAGTTAAGGGTAGGCTGAGAGTTTATATCAGTTTTTATGTGGTTTTTCTTCAAGAGCATTAGCGCTGTTGCAAGTGATGAGCCTACATCATCTCACACCATACTCCTTTTGAGGCGCCTCAAAAGTCACACCATACTCCTTTTGAGGCGCCTCAAAAGTCACACCATACTCCTTTTGAGGCGCCTCAAAAGTCACACCATACTCCTTTTGAGGCGCCTCAAAAGTCACACCATACTCCTTTTGAGGCGCCTCAAAAGTCACACCATACTCCCCATCTGATGCACTGCCTGTATGCCCACCCACCTTTCCCTGCCGCCCATGTGTACCCCTTACAGTCCACCTCGCTACAGTACTTCAAACGCTTCTTCCTCATGTGCTCCGTTATGGAGCATGACCCTAAAAGCATCATGTGAGTTCTGGGTGGTGGCGGCTTTATATGAGCTCCAAGGAGGGATTCAGTGCTGCGTGTGAGGGCAGGGTGGTGGGGGCTGCGTGTGAGGGCAGGGTGGTGGGGGCTGCGTGTGAGGGCAGGGTGGTGGGGGCTGCGTGTGAGGGCAGGGTGGTGGGGGCTGCGTGTGAGGGCAGGGTGGTGGGGGCTGCGTGTGAGGGGTTACGGTTTGCTTGGCTGAGATCAGATGTGGTGTCTGTTTTCCACCTGTGCTCCCGTTCCGCCCATCTCTCTTTCTCCACTCCTTTTCTCCCCACGCCAGGCTGACAGTCATCTACATAGCGTGCAAGGTGGACGAGGTGTATGTATCAGCGGAGGAGTTTGGGAGGGGCATAGGGCAGGACCCGCAGGTGGTGCTGGGCTGCGAGGTGCAGGTGCTGCAGACGCTCAAGTTCGACCTCATCTGCTACGGGCCTTACCGGGCGATTGACGGCTTCCTGCTGCAGCTGGAGCAGGTGAGGGGGTGCTGATATGGCTTGTGGTGTGCAAGGGACACATGGAGCACGGGGTTCTGCAGACGCGCAGGCTCGACCTCATCTGCTTGCTACGGGCCTTACCGCGCCATTGACAGCTCCCTGCTGCAGCTGGAGCAGGTGAGATCAGTGCTGCAGATAGGCCGTGTGGGGTGGGGTGTACTGGGGCGCAATTGGCTGGGCACATGGGGCACGGGGTGCTACAGACTCCTTATGACACGTCTCAAAAGTCGTGTGGGGTGTACTGGGGCGCATGGGGCGCATGGGGGTCATGGGGCGCAATGGGCTCATGGGGCGCAATGAGCTCATGGGGCGCATGGGGGTCATGGGGCGCAATGGGCACATGGGGTTTGGGGTGCTACAGACGCTCCGTTGCGACCTCATCTGCCCCGGGCCCTATCGTGCCATCGATGGCTTCCTGCTCCACCTTACCGTGCACAACAGTGCGGTTAAGGGCCATACAGAGCGGTAAAGGGCCAATGGTGGCTTCGTGTTGCAACCAGCAGAGGTATATGCTCTGTTTCTCATGCTTCAAGCGCTCACTGTGCTGTGCTCACCCTTATAGTACCTACCCCTCACGCTGCTGCTGTTGCTCTTTCCCCTCGCCCCTCCCACTCCCCTCCCTTCCTCCAATCCCGGCCTCCCTTCGAAGCTGCTAAGGGAGCCATTCGCGTCTCAGCCTGAGGACGTGAAGAAGCAAACAATCCAGGCAAGTGCTGGTGGGCAGCGGGCGTGGAGCATGGGTCATGCAAACATAAAGTGCAAACATGATTTTCTGCTGATGTGGAATGAGGTAAGTACGCGTTTGTGAGGCATGATGGAGTGAGGTATGGCATTGCACTGGTGTGACACTCTCTTTCAGATTATTGCATTCTTCCTATCCATTCCTCCTCTTTCCCATATCAAATGCTCTTTCAGCTCATAAATTCTCCAATTATCCCTCCCATCTCTCTCCATCGTTCTCCACCCTCTGCTTCTCTGCCCTCAGGCGCTGACACAGGGGGCATATGCGGCGGTGGGGTCGATATTCCTCACCGACGCACCTCTGCTCTTCCCTCCAGGGCAATTCTCTGTCTCTCCTCTCCGCTCTGCTCCCCATTCCACACCACACCACCGCACTGCTCCCCATTCCACACCACACCACCGCACTGCCCTCTTTCCAGACATCGCCACTTACTTTTGAGTCGACTCAAAAGTCAACCCATTCCACACCGCACCACCGCACTGCCCTCTTTTCAGACATCGCCATTTACTCTCTCCCTCTCTATGCCACACAGTATCAGCGCCATTTGTCTCATACTCGCTCATATACCTCACAACCCCGGCTCCTCCCCGCGCCACCCCATTCCGCCCCACTGCACCGCACTCCTCCGCCGCCCCAGGCAGCTGGCGCTAGCAGCCATCAAGCTCGCCAACAACGCCTCCTCCGCCATCCCCAACTTCCAAAGGTGCTGCTCCCACCATGTCACACCACACTGCACCGCACCACACCATCCAAACTGTTCCCTGGGGCATCGGAATGGTCATGGGTCGTGGAGATGGTGTCATGCGCATGGACTGATCATGGGTGGCATGGCATCCTTTCGTACTCATTAGACCATAAGACTCGTGCTTCTCTCCCCTCATGGACTCGTGCTTCTCTCCCCTCATGGACTCGTGCTTCTCTCCCCTCATGGACTCGTGCTTCTCTCCCCTCATGGACTCGTGCTTCTCTCCCCTCATGGACTCGTGCTTCTCTCCCCTCATGGACTCGTGCTTCTCTCCCCTCATGGACTCGTGCTTCTCTCCCCTCATGGACTCGTGCTTCTCTCCCCTCATGGACTCGTGCTTCTCTCCCCTCCCTTCCACGCGCACGCCTCACACATCCCCTGCCACCATCTCTCGTCATCCCTCACTCACTCTCACTCTCACCAAACCCCTCCTCCTCACTTGCCTCTCATCCCTCACTCACTCTCACTCCCACCCAATCGCTCTGCCTCCAGTTTTCTTGACTCCGTGGTGGCTGCATCCCCTCCTGCCAAGGCAGCACCAGGGAAGGAGCTAGGGGCAGGGCAGGGGCATGTGGGTGCGGAGCTGCTGGCTGCTGTGAAGGCCGTGGAGAGCATGGTGAGAGGTGGTGAGAGGTGGTGAGAGGTGGTGAGAGGTGGAGAGAGGTGGTGAGAGGTGGTGAGAGGTGGTGAGAGGTGGTGAGAGGTGGTGAGAGGTGGAGAGCATGGTGAGAGGTGGTGAGAGGTGGTGAGAGGTGGAGAGCATGGTGAGAGGTGGTGAGAGGTGGTGAGAGGTGGTGAGAGGTGGAGAGTGGTGGAGAGCATGATGAGAGTATGCCGTGAGAATCAATTGCATGTTAGTCGACCTTGTGCCAGTTGCTCACAAATCAATTACTCCCCAGATCGTGTTTTTTTAGAATTCTAAAAAAATACTCCCCAGATCGTGTGTTTTTAGAATTCTCAAAAAATACTCCCCAGATCGTGTTTTTTTAGAATTTTCAAAAAATACTCCCCAGATCGCAAAACGACTCAACAGGTGAAGGCATGTGGTCGCTCACAGGTCAATCGGTTTCACCTCTCCCCACTTCATTAATCACACAATAACTCGGCAGGTGAAGGCATCAGGGCCGCTACCAGCAGCAGATGTGGTGAAGCGTATCGACAGGAAGCTCAAATACTGCCGCAACCCTGCCCTCATGCTGCACGAGTGAGTCCCCACTCTGAATGGGTAGTTAGCTACCTTTACCCTCCTGGGATAACACCATGTTTCTGGGAGAACAACATGTTCCTGGGAGAACACCTATGAACCCCGTCTGGATGAATTCTTCGCCATTGGCATTTCTTTCACTTCCATGCTCCACTGCCTCCCTGGCTCCCCTCTCCCTCTCTCCCCCTTCCATCCTTCCCCTCTCCCTCTCTCCCCCTCCCATCCTTCCCCTCTCCCTCTCTCCCCCTCCCATCCTTCCCCTCTCCCTCTCTCCCCCTCCCATCCTTCCCCTCTCCCTCTCTCCCCCTCCCATCCTTCCCCTCTCCCTCTCTCCCCCTCCCATCCTTCCCCTCTCCCTCTCTCCCCCTTCCATCCTTCCCCTCTCCCTCTCTCCCCCTCCCATCCTTCCCCTCTCCCTCTCTCCCCCTCCCATCCTTCCCCTCTCCCTCTCTCCCCCTCCCATCCTTCCCCTCTCCCTCTCTCCCCCTCCCATCCTTCCCCTCTCCCTCTCTCCCCCTCCCATCCTTCCCCTCTCACCCCCTCCCTCTCCCCCTCTCCCTCTGCGCATGCCCATCAGTCGCAAGGAGCGCGAGGAGAGGAGCAAGTCCAAGCGGGCATCACATAGCGTTGCGCTCACTGCCTCCCCACTTTCCCCCACTCTTCCTCACCGCGTCTCTCTCCCTCTTCGTCCCCCTCTCCACCCCCACTCCCCGCATGCCCATCAGTCGCAAGGAGCGCAAGGAGAGGAGCAAGTCCAAGCGGGCATCACACAGCGTTGCCGTCGCTGTCTCCCCGGTTTCCCCCACTCTTCATCCCCCTCCCCTCCCACTCCTTCCCCACACCCCCATCAGTCGCAAGGAGCGCAAGGAGAGGAGCAAGTCCAAGCGGGCATCGCACAGCGTTGCGCTCACTGCCGCCCCGCCTGTCACCTCCTCGCCCCTGTAAGCCTATTCTTGAGGCGCCGCAAAAATCAAGTCCAAGCGGGCATCGCACAGCGTTGCCCTTACTGCCGCCCCACAGGCTGCCTCCTCCCCTCTGTAAGATCCAGTCGCACTGTATGCTGCATCTCCCCTGTCAGCTCCATCCCCCCTGTAACATCATCCTCCCTGCCTATGATTTCTATCCAACCTTTAGCATCAGCCTTTACCACAGTAGAAGCTACATGTGTTCCTCTGCTTTGTTCTGTAAGTTGCCGTGCCATCTCTCTGCTGAATGACGCATCCCCCATATAAGCAGTGTGCTGCTTTCTTTCCACCCTTGTAAGCATGTCTTGATCGCATCCTGATTCGATGGCTCGCTCGCATGCATGTTATGACGCCCATCTCATGTTATGCATGTTATCTCATGCTTGATTTTGTTGTGTTCCGCTTGTCCGCATGCCCGCATGCTCACATGATCCCATACTTCCATGCTTCCATGCCCGCATGCTCACATGATCCCTTACTTCCATGCTTCCATGCCCGCATGCTCACATGATCCCATACTTCCATGCTTCCATGCCCGCATGCTCACATGATCCCATACTTCCAGGCTTCCATGCCCGCATGCTCACATGATCCCATACTTCCATGCTTCCATGCCCGCATGCTCACATGATCCCATACTTCCATGCTTCCATGCCCGCATGCTCACATGATCCCATACTTCCATTCTTCCATGCCCGCATGCTCACATGATCCCATACTTCCATGCTTCCATGCCCGCATGCTCACATGATCCCATACTTCCATGCTTCCATGCCCGCATGCTCACATGATCCCATACTTCCATGCTTCCATGCCCGCATGCTCACATGATCCCATACTTCCATGCTTCCATGCCCGCATGCTCACATGATCCCATACTTCCATGCTTCCATGCCCGCATGCTCACACGATCCCATACTTCCATGCTTCCATGCCCGCATGCTCACATGATCCCATACTTCCATGCTTCCATGCCCGCATGCTCACATGATCCCCTACTTCCATGCTTCCATGCCCACATGCTCACATGATCCTATACTTCCATGCTTCCATGCTCGCATGGTCAACAGGGACGATGCAGCAGCCCGCAATGCCAAGCGAAGGCGAAGCACAAGTACCCTTCCGCAGGGCACTTAGTAGTGACCCTGGCTGTGTTGCAGGGCACGTAGCACCAGCACAGTCACATCTGTCCCTCTTCCAACACAGCAGGCAGGGTGATCCTGCACTCCTAGAAGTTTATTTACAATTAGGGGTAGTGGCACTGCATATATAAAAACACATAAGCTTTCCATAAATCGTTCTCTATTATGCTGTGAACCTGTATTAGTCACTAAGGGTGCGTTCCTGTGGAGACACTTGTGTCTCAATCCCCTTCTTTCCGAGTCGCGTCTACACATTTTTGCAATCTCGCGTCACAAAAAATGAGTGTATCACGAAACTGTGTGACCAGACGAAATTTACAGCTGTGCTCATTTGATTGGATTTCAAACTTGACTGAACACCTGCATTGAGAAAGCTTGCTTTCTGTTCTTGCAAAGGCAACGGGCTTCATTACAATTGCAGTAATACAACATTCTCGTCCAACTATTATGATATACAATATACGACTAGGGTGGGTGGGTGGGGAGTGGAACTGCAAAGTTCCGAAATGAAGTCGTGGGTGGAGGCCGAATGGCCTCCAACCCTCGTTATATACTCGGCGAATTGTAATTCGCCGTTGCTTTGCTTCGTTACAGGTACCGTCATACCCCAGATATAAGCGCCACCCTAGGATAAGCGCCTGGCGCTTTTAATTGGCGCATGGCGCTTATATCCGCTGCTAGATTATAAGCGCACCCCCTGGAAAAAAACCTGTTTTATTATAAGCGCACGTAAACTTTAATTCTTGAAATGGGTTCAAAACCCTGTAACGAATTTTACTTTAGCAAGCGGATGTCTCCAGATTCGGTTCCCTTAAAATTCGGACCCTTCACTGGATGCGGGTCCAGTCAGCAGGAGCTGTTAGGAGCTGTCAGAAGCTGTCAAAAGCTGTCAAGAGCTGTCAGATTTGGTGTATCTCCCAGTGCGCGCGAGAATTTCACAGACGACCCCATGTAACTTCGGCTCGGTTGAAAATGCAAGCACGAGAAGTACAGGTTGGTGTTAAAAAATATATAAACTATATATGTCGTTTTATAAACGCCGGCGCTTATAAAGTTACCCGATTATAAGCCCACCCCCTAAAAAAAACCTGTTTTATTATTCCCCCCCATGGGGGTATATCCGGGGTATAACGGTAGCTGCGCTTTCACAATACACATTTTTAGAAAGTGTTACACACTTTCGAAAAATTTCATTTCTTCAACTGTCTGGTTCGGGTGGGGTTTTGACGAGCGGAACTTTTTCCTGCGCGAGATTTTTACTGTGGAATGTCCAGGTGCATTGACATTTCGAATCGCATACAGAGTTGTTGACAATGACGGGTCGATACGCAACTCGTCCGCGACATCAGCGCGTTTCACGCTGACAAATGAAAAATACATTAAAAGTCGCACAAGGGCGACACGCGTTTGTGACATTGTACGTTATATGCTGGTTTTACGCGTCACAGAAGGATTGAGACACAAGTGTCTCCACAGGAACGTACCCTAAGACACATTGCAACTAAGCAGTGTGGCCTTAGCTCCTGAAATGGGCCTTGCAGCCTAATTATGCTACAGTAACGTAACGGCCTACAATCAACCCATCGTTACTAGAGTACTACCAGTATCACGCTGCCTATCCTAAGCCACCGAACCAACCAGCACAGAGACGCGTAGCCTGCCGCAGTGCACCGCACACACCAACTCGAAGACTGCCAAACCACTTACCGTATGTCTCAGCTGCCTGCATAGACTTTGGAACCCGTACAGTCATCAACCCCACCACTCCCTGCACACATCCTCCCTGCTCCACCTTTCTGCTCTTCCTCTGCACCCCCCGAGATGGCACCATTCACCCTCGCCCCATCACTGCTTCCATCCATCGACCCATCCCCACCCGCCTCCGCCCCTCCACACGCCTCCTTGCCTGCCATTGTGTCATCCAGCGAGACTGCCACTGCCACCTTCTGCTGCAACGAGGGCGGGCCGTCATGCTCCTCAGCCTTCCCATGTCCCTCCTCCCGGTTCCCCCCCACACCCGCCTCGGCTCCCCCACTGGCCTCAGCTCCCCCACCCGTCTCACCCCCTCCACCCGGCTCAGTCAACCCACATGCCTCCCTGCCTCCCCCTGCTTCATCCGACGAGCCCCCCGCTGCCACCTGCTGCAGCAAGGAAGGTGGCCCCACCTGCTCCTCAGCGCAATCCTGTCCCTCCTCCCGGTTCTCCCCGCCACCCGCTTCGGCTCCCCCACCCGCCTCTGCCCCTTCACCCACCACACTGCCTCCCCTTGCTTCATCCAACGAGTCTGCTGCTGCCATCTGCTGCTGAAACGAAGGCGGCCCTGTGTGCTCCTCAGCCTTCTCCTGTCCCGCCTCCCGGTTCCCCCCAACCCCGGCACAGTCCCCTGATGTCATGTCAGCAGCGTGAACCCTGCTCTCTGCCTCCAAATTCCCAGGATGAGGATTTCTAAGATTTCTAAGGCCCTCGTTTTCAGCAGCTGCAGCAGCATCAACTCCGAAATTGCGTTGTTCATTAGTTGCAAACGTACCTGATAGACAGTTACCAGCAGAATCAGCAACATCAGAAGCAGCAGCTGCCGCAGCAGAAGCAGCACTGATACTAGAATCAGGAGCGCCATCAACAGCAGAGACAGCAACATCAGCATCACCAGCATCGTCCTTGGCAGCAGCAGCAGCAGCAGCGTCAGCATCGGAATCACCAGCATCATCAGGACCAGCAACACCATAAGCAGCATCAACAGCATCGGCAGCAGGGACAAGAGAGCCTGCATTCATCAGATGCATGTGCGCATCCACATCACCACCATGCCCATCCGTCAGACCCCCATGCAAGTGCATGTGCTTGTGCATCAGCGCCGCATGCTCCTCTGCCGACATCACATGCCCCCCGTCCAGCAGTCCACACTCTCCCTCCGGCAGCGCCCCCCCCCCTTCGGACAGCACATGTCCCGCCTCAGCAAGTGCATGGTGTGCGCCTGGGGTGGTGCTGCCTCCGCGCAGGTAGAGGTGCTCGTAGTAGAGCAGCAGGTGGTGTAGCATCTCGTTCTCTCGCTCCACCACTGCCTTCCCCGCCACCAGCTGCGCCTTCTCCTGCAGCAGCACTCCCAGCTGCTCGTGCAGCTGCGGGCGAGCAAGAACAGGTGCGGGGAAACATGAAGGGGGCATAATGGAAAAGGACAGGAAGTCAGCAGACAGCAAGAAGAAGGGGGGTAGTCTTGTGGCATCTGTCTCTCGCGCTCCACTGCTGCCTTCCTCGCCACCAGCAGCGCCTTCTCCTGCAGCAACACTCCCAGCTGCTCGTGCAGCTGTGGGCACAGGGTGTTGAGGGCGTGCGAGCAACACATGGGGAAGGACAAGGAGGAACACCCTGAGAATTCTCCTGAAGCAGCGTATTCCCGCCCTCAAAAGCACGTCACACATTCCAGCCCATCAAAACTCACCATATCTTCCAATTCCGAGTGATGGTGGTGGTGATGTGTGTCCACCCCTCCTTCCCCCTCCACCCCCGCCTCCACCTCCGCCTCACGCCCTCCCATCCCCTCCCCCTTCACTCCCCCCTTCGTCTCTTCTGCAGCCGCCAGCGCCGCTCTGAGCCGCTCATTCTCCTCCTCCACCGCTCTGCACCGCTCTCGAGCGTCCATGGCGTCGCGGCGGGCTGCCTTGAGGTCCGCCTGTAGCTGCTTCGCCCGCATGGCCATGGCTGTCGCCACCTGCAGCAGGGGGGGTGGAGGGGGGAGGAGTTAGAGAGGGGGCCGATGAGAGGAGCGACATTAAAGTGAGCTGCTTCGCCTGCATGGCCATGGCTGTCGCCACCTGGTGGGGGAGAATGGTGGGGTTAGGGGGGGTAGGAAGGAGGCGGAGGGGAGGGATGAAAAGAGGGGGGAAGGAGGGGCGATGCAAGGAGTGAACTGCTTCACCCGCATGGCCACGGCTGTGTTTTGAGGCGCCTCAAAACGATGCAAGGAGTGAACTGCTTCACCCGCATGGCCATGGCTGTGTTTTGAGGCGCCTCAAAACGATGCAAGGAGTGAACTGCTTCACCCGCATGGCCACGGCTGTGTTTTGAGGCGCCTCAAAACGATGCAAGGAGTGAACTACTTCACCCACATGGCCACGGCTGTGTTTTGAGGCGCCTCAAAACGATGCAAGGAGTGAACTGCTTCACCCGCATGGCCACGGCTGTGTTTTGAGGCGCCTCAAAACGATGCAAGGAGTGAACTACTTCACCCACATGGCCACGGCTGTGTTTTGAGGCGCCTCAAAACGATGCAAGGAGTGAACTGCTTCACCCGCATGGCCACGGCTATGTTTTGAGGCGCCTCAAAACGATCCAAGGAGTGAACTGCTTCACCCGCATGGCCACGGCTGTGTTTTGAGGCGCCTCAAAACGATGCAAGGAGTGAACTGCTTCACCCGCATGGCCACGGCTGTGGTCAGCTGGGTGGAGCGACAGGGAAGAGGGGGGAAGAGTGATGTTGAAGTGAGAGGTAATTTGTTCGCATGGCCATGGCTGCCGACTCATGTTGCCACCAACATGTATACATGCGTAGTTACAGGCTCTCATTGCAGCGTGTTTTGAGACGTCTCAAAACACACCAACATATATACATGCATAGTTACAGGCATTCATTGCAGCGGAGGACTCACATTTCTGGACGCCACGAGCTGGGTCTCCTTGGGCACATGCACTGCCGCTTCACTCGCCCTCTTCACCCCCTCCTCCTCACAACAATGCATGCAGTTCTCCCATCTCTGCCAGCACTCACATTTCTGCCCACCTCCCATTCCAGCGGACTCACATTTCTGGACGCCACGAGCTGGGTCTCCTTGGGCACATGCACCGCCGCCTCACTCGCCCTCTTCACCCCCTCCTCTCTCCCCACCAGCATCTCCCTTCCCTTCGGCAACCGCACTAGCAAATCGTCTTCCGCTGCCAGCTCAGCACCTGACGTGGCGGCTAATGTAGCGGCTGACGTGGCGGCTGACGTGGCAGTTGGGCCAGAGGATGCATGACCAGGAGCTTGAGGGGGAGGGGAGGCAAGAGGCTCGTCAGGCCGTGCAGCTAGGGAGGGCGGCGAGACAGGGGAAGAAGGAGAGACAAGGGCGGGAGGAGAGGCGAGGGAAGCAGGAGAGACGAGGGAGGCAGCAGCTTCTGTTTCCCCTGCTCGCCCTTCTCGTCCCTGCATCCGTTGCTCTACAGGCACAACCCGTCCACCACCCCCCTCACCCATACCACTACTACTCCGCTCTGACAGTCGCGCTACTGCTGCTGCTCCTGCTATAGTTGCTCCTGCTCCTGCTGCTTCGGCTACTTCTGCTCTGGCTGCTTCTACTGTTGCTGCTGTTGCTGTCGATGGCTGTCTGGGTGCCACTGCATTTGTTTGTGCCACCATGGCATTCGCTGAGTCTCTCACTGTAGGCGCCGCTGCTTCTCCTGCACTCAACCCCTCTGCTTTTGGAGCTACCACTCGAGTTGCTGCTGTTGCTGCTACTGCTGCTACTGCCGTTGCTGCCGCTCCTCCTGCTCCGGATGCTCCTGCTCCTGCTACTGCTGCTCCCCCTGCTCCTGCCACTGCTGCTCCTCCTGCTGCTGCTCCCCCTCCCGCCGCTGACCCTACAGCAGCCTCAGAGCCGCTGTCAGCCCCTCTCGTCTGCACGCTATCAGGCCCTTTTGACTGCACGAGGCGGGGGCGCGCGTCTCTGATGGCCGCTCTGGGCGCGGACTGCCTGCCTGACGCGCCGGGCTTGGTGCTGTCCGCTGCTGCCTTTCTGGGGGGCGGGTGGTCGTCTACGGCCACCTGCACCACTTTGCCTATGCCCTCCTGCCGTCAGGTACAGTGGGGAAAGGGGGGAGGGAGTGGGGAGGGATTGGGGAGGGCGTGGGGATTTTCTATGGGTCCCAAGAAAGGACGGTCGTCAACGGCCACCTGCACCACCTTGCCTATGCCCTCTTGCCGCCGCGTGTAGTGGGAGGGAGGAGGGAGGGAAGGGCGGGAGGTGGGGGTTGGGGGAGAGGATCTAGAGGCGCCCCGAAACAGGGCGCTCCTCCACCGCCACCTGCACCACCTTGCCTATGCCCTCTTGCCGCCGCGTGTAGTGGGAGGGAGGAGGGAGGGAAGGGCGGGAGGTGGGGGTTGGGGGAGAGGATCTAGAGGCGCCCCGAAACAGGGCGCTCCTCCACCGCCACCTGCACCACCTTGCCTATGCCCTCCTGCCGTCACACACACCGGGAAGGGAGGATGAAGAAGGGGAGGAAGGAGGGGGCGGCGGGCAGCAAGGAGGGAAGAGAAGACGCCAGTATCAAAGTAGAAGCAGAGAGGAACGCCAAGGGGAAAGTAAAGCTCGGAAGATGCGAGGGGTTTGGGGCAGACAGTGGCGCAGGGTATGTGTGTGGAGAGGCAGCAGGGCAGGGGGGGAGGAGGGAGGGGAGGGTGGGGTAAGTTGAAGTGCGTGCATGTGTATGCGTGCACACCCATGCCACAAGCGGGGCAGCTTACATCGAGAGCGGAGCCAAGGGTGTCACCGAGCAGGGAAATAGAGTTGATGATGGCGTCCAGCCCTCCCTGCACAAATCCACCGCCACCACCGCCGCCTCCTCCGCCTCCTCCTCCCTTAGCACCCCCAAACGTTGGTCCAGCTGAAGCACGACCTGACGCTCCCCTCCCTGCTCCTGCTGCTCCTCCTGCTGCTGCAGCAGGCTTGGAATCCCCTGCACCTCGCTTCCCTGCTCCCGTTCCACCTTCTCCCATTCCACCGGCTGCCATCCCTGCCATCCGTTCTGCTCCTGCAGATCTTGCGGTTCCACTGTTTCGTGCCTGCGTGGGCTTCGAGACTCCAACATGCTTGCCGCTCCCCGGCTGTGCTTGTGGGGAGCTTGTCTTTGCGCTCGCCCTCCGCGGGCTGCTGGATACACCGCTAACCGCAACAGGTTTTCCTAGAAGATCCTGGCGGGGAACGAGAAGGACACAGGGAATAACGATCGGGACTCTTAGGGTGCCGGATTCCGCAAAACAAAAGACGGTAACGCGCGTGAGGGAGCGAGTCCAGTAACGTTATGGGCAAGCTCGAAGAAGCGACTGAACGGGAACGGCAGCAAGGCCCAACAACCTGCCCTGATTCAGCTGCTCACCTCCGCATTGAGCGTGGGAGACTGCTGATGCCGCGGCGTGGAAGCGCGCGACGAGGAGGAGGGGATGTCGTCCTCGAGCACGAAGTCCGCCACCTTCTTCACCAGGCTCGACCAGAAGCTCTCCTGCGCCGCCGGGATCGGCGCTTCCGCCTTCCGCCCCGCACTCACCGACCGATCCATCCTGGCGTGCCCGATCGCTGGCTAGCAAGTCGACGAGTTTATCTGCAGTGCAGGCTGCAGCAGACGCAGGTGGCTCAGCAGGTGTACCTGCGTGTTGCTATAATTCGTACGGATGCCGCTTCAGATTCTGGAGGAAATGCTTGTCCGGTTGAATGATAACATCAACACTAAACCGCGATATTTAATTTGAAGGCCCTAACCTACTGCCATCGCTCGCTAGAATCAGCTGGTCTAAGGTACACAAACAGATCCATGTATCGAAACGCAAGCCTTCATAATTGTTCGGTGGTGACCAACCTCGCTGTTTCTACTCATTGCGATGATACAGCTGGTGGAGAAGCAGGATTCTCGAAACGTAAGAAACGTGATCTAGGTGGAATGTGTGCATTTGACAACCAAATGGAAAGCAAGGTGTGCGTGCAGTGCACGTCCGTGAAAGCTGGAGTTTACGAAGTGAATGGTCGAGGTGAGTAATCTTGATAGTATAGGGAACAGATACAAATACGTAAGTGTAGACAGCGTAACTACTCTTTGTAGTTTCTTGTGGAAGAGGCTGTTGGTGAGTATGTATGGCTACGTGGAAAGTCGCACTCGTTTCCACGTGTCGGCGGATACGTCACACTAGGCCTGGTTTGCCTCTCCATTCGGTTTGCTGTCGGTGGTGCTGTAGGTTACTCTACTCGCTTGTCTGCAGCGCAACGAAACGCCCTGCCAAGCTGTAATTCGTTCAACGAAGTCGCGACTGTCGCTCCACCCCTCCATCACCGAAAACAGCCGAACACAATCCCGCAACAGACAAAAGTACTGCCAGAATCCAGCGTGTCCGACTGACTGTTGCGGAGGGGAAGGTGAAGTGAGTGAGGGTCAAGGCTCCGACGCTCAACGCAACAATGCGCAAATGCGATGCGTCGGCGTGCGGCCCGACCAAAATTACAAGCAAGGTCCATCCCGAAATTCCCTCCCCCTCCCCCCCTCTCCCTCCTCTTCCCCCTCTCTCCCCTCTTTCCCCTCGTCCTCATTCTCCTCCTCGTCTGCCCCCCCCTGCCCCCAACCCAGGGTCACGCAAGAGGGGTTCTGAGGGAGGAAACTCCGCCTGCTCCAGCTGCTGAGGCGGGGGCGGGAGCGGAACCAGAAGCGACCACGAAGCCGACAGCTTGACGCAAGCAGGAAGCTGACCATTAGGCCCCCGCCGCAAATCTGACGTACCTGGATTTTTACTTCTGACCACTTCTTGCATACCTTCCATTCGCAGTATCCTAGAGTTCGCCGCACAGATACCTGAGTGCCATAGCTCCTCTTTCGGAGATAACTTTTCATACGCAGAATCCAGAACGGGTTTTTTAGAACCGACTGTTGCTCTCGCCGATTTGTCATTTCGAGTTTTTAGTCGTTTAAGTTGGCCCGAGTAATGCATCTCGCCGGTTGCTTTTCATCCAGCCGGCAACTGAAACGGCCACCGTCACTATCGTCTCTTCGCATAGCTTATCCGTTACCGTACTCCTGCTTCAATACATCCCAGACCCAGGTCGAGCCTGTAAACGAGCCACGTAATAACGAGTTCCTAGTCACCGAGCCTCTGGACACCTGCCCATTGCCACGTCGGTCGCCAGTAGAGGGGATCCACGTGGCCGACTCTGGAGCCTTATCCGAGAATCCGCACATGCCACGTCAGACGCAGCACCGTCAAACCTCCTCCCTCGATATCCCTCCCACCAGAAACTCCTTAACTCCGCCGCTCCCCGCTTCCACCCCGCCCCCCCTTTCCCGTCCCCCGGCGACGCGCTCCCCCGCCCCGTTCTCGCCGGGAGCGGGATTTCCACACTCCCCCGGCGCGCAGTCTCCGCCTCCCCTAGCAATAGCAGTAGTTCCCGCGCACCCGTTCAAGCGCCGCGCGGTGGAGGGGCCTTTGCCGCCCCCTTCCCCGCTCCTGCGGCTCAACGAGAGCCATCACTCTCCGCTTTCTTCGCCGTCTTCCGCGGTCTTTGGCATCCGCGCTGCGCCTCTTAGCCCTTGCGCATGGAAAGCGGGGGAAGGGGGAGGAGAGAGTGGGAGGGGTGGGGGAAGTCGGGGGAGCGGGGGAGGTGCGGGAGCGCAATCCAGAGCGCACGATGGTTCCGCGAGCGTAATCGCAGGGTCTCCCGCATCTCCCGCACCGGACTCCAGTGTAGTTTGGCCGGCGAATGCGCCACGTGGCGGCCAGATCCGCGGACCTCCTGCGCCGTCAGGCGCAAGAAAGGCAGAACCTTTGAGTCCTTATCCAGACGCGCGGGAGCAGGGGGTGCCGCTTCCGCGCGCGCAAGAGCAAGAACGGCGGGTGGGCGGAAAGGCCTTAGCTTCCCCGCAACCCCGCGATGGCCCCGTCAGCACAGTGACGCTTGAGTGGACTCAGAAGCCGCCTTCCCCGCGATCCCGCGATGTTCCCCCCCGCGCCGCGACTCTCTCCAGCGCGCTTCTCGCGCGCATCGACGCGATATTCCTGAGCAAACGGAGCAAGGAGCGCGCGGAAGCCAAGGCGCAGGCGCAGGCGCAGGCGCGGCTGCGAGCAGCGGCGGGCGGCGGGTCGAAGCGGCGCGGGCAGGCTGACTCCGCCGCCGCCGCCGCAGCTGCAGCAGCAGCAGCAGCAGCGGGGAAACAGGAAGCTCCCGTCACAGCGGAAACGGGAGTGGGAAAAAGCGCGGGTGTGTGGGGGAAGGTGGGTACAAAGGCGCGGCGGTCACTGTCTCTGGATGGCACGGGGGCAAGCCGCGGGGAAAGGGTATTTGCGGCGCTGGGGGAAGGAGGAAACGTGAAGGCGGAACCTGAGGTCTGGGAGGTTGGTGGGGGAGGCTCGATTGGCGGGAGTGGGGGAAGCGGAGTAAGTGCGGGAAGTGGGGGAAGCAGGGGGAGCGGGGGAAGCGGGGGGATGAGTGGTACCATTTCTGGTGGTAGCAGCGGTCTTGATGGTGAGCTGAGAACGTGCACAGCTCTGCACTCTCCTGCAACCACAGCTAACGCCTTTGCTGCTGCCTCACCAGCTGCTACCCCAACAGCAACAACAACAGCGGCGGCAGCAGCAACAGCAGCGACAGCAGTGAGAGAAGCACAAGAAACGGCGGACGCACAGCCGATAAGGCAGGCAGCGGGCAACAGAGGAATTGAGAGTGGTTTTAGAACCGTGGCTAGCTTTGCCCCTGCGACCGACAACAGCCATATCAGCGGCAGCAGCAGCAGTGCAACAGTCCCGGCCGCACTGCAGCAGCAGCAGCAGCAACCCGCGTGGATGATGGTAGCAGGTACGCTTACTCGCGCTGTTGTTGTTGTCCCCATGCCCGCCACCGCTGCCATGCCTGCTCCCATGGCTGCTCCCACGCCTCTTCCCACGGCTCCTCCTTCGCTCACTCTCACGCAGACCCCTACTGTACTCACATCGCCGCTTGCACTGCCACCAGCAGCCACCACAGGCACAGCCGGTGCAGCAGGGCCAGCAGCATCGTTCTCACCCTTCAAACAACCCGTGCAGCAGCAGCAGCAGCCCGGCCTTGAGCCCTCTTCAAGAACCCATCCACCGGAACCCTCTTCTCCTCTGCCTCCTCCTCCTCCTCCTCCTACTGCTACTGCTCCTCCTACTGCTCTCGCCACCCCTCCCCCTTCTGCCCCCCCTGCCACTCCCCCTTACGTTCCCCTTCCCTCTCCCCTTTCTCTTACCCCAGCTGCTTCCCCTGCTGCCCCGCCCGCTACCCCCCCTGCTCCATCCACGCGCCATCCACCCCCTCACCGCTCCGTTCCCGCCCACCACCCTCATCCCCCGCACCATCCCCACCACCATAACCACCCCCGCGTGCAGCGGCGGTACCGGGGGGTGCGGCAGCGGCGGTGGGGGCGGTGGGTGACAGAAATCCGTGAGCCCACCACGCGTACGCGCATCTGGCTCGGCTCCTATGATAACGCCGAGGAAGCCTCCCGTGTGTACGACATGGCCGCTCGGCTGCTCAAGGGCCGGGCGGCACGGCTTAACTTTCCCCACAGCGTGCAGCCAGTGGCGGTCCCCCGGGGGATTGCGGATGCTCTCATGAGGGCTAGCCGGGCGGCAGCGGAGGCTGGCGGGGGGGAGGGTGGTGCGGGTGGTGTTGACGATGGGGAGGGCGGTGCGGGTGGCGGTATGGATGATTTGCAGGGTGGTCGGGATAGTGTGGACGATGGGCATGGTAGGGATGGGGATGGGGATAGTGGTGGTGATGGGGATGGTGATGGGGATTGGGGCATCAGTGGTGGGTGCAGTGGTGGTGTGATGGGGATGGTGATGGGGATGGACGTGGTTGGTGCAGAGGCAGTGGGGGAGGGTGAGGCACAGGAGGTGAAGGCGTGGAGTGGTGAGCAGATGGAGTGTGGTTCGGAGCAGGTGCAGCAGCAGCAGAGCATGGTGCTTCAGCATGCCGGGCAACCACCAGCCGGCCTACAGGAGCATCACTATTATCATCAACAGCAGCAACAGCAGCAGCAGCAGCAGCAGCAGCAGCAGCAGCAGCAGCAGCAGGCGAGCAGTTTGGCACCTGAGAATCCACCTGGCAGCCAGGCGCCATCATGGGAGGAGACCCTGAGAGACCTGGGCCTGGACGCACCCCTTCCCCCTGTCGCCCCTCCCCCTCCCCTTTGCCCCGCTCCCACTCCAATTGCCCAGCCTCTCTCTGCTGCTCCCACCGCTCTCCACCGCTCTTCACCACCAGCAGCAACACCGCCACCATGTGTAACCCCATCTCGCCCCTCCAGTACGCCTCCTCTTCCGCTCCTGCGCATGCCCCTGTCGCTGCTCGCCTCCCCACGTGCGTGCACCCATGTCCCTCCATATCGATCAGCAGGCAGCCCCCTGCTCCACCTCCCGCCCTCGTTCCCTGCTGCTGCCTCCACCTCCGTGCCTGCTGCAACTACTGTAGCTGGTGCCACACCTGCTACAACATCCGCACCTGCCACTACAGAACCCCCACCTGCTACAGCACCCTTACCAGATACTACACCCATCTCTCAATCCTTCTCCCTGCTTCCTTGCTCCAGCCCCAACGAACGGACGGATCAAATGGACCAGAACAGCCAGATGGAGCGGACGGACCAGATCGAGCGAGCGGGCCAGATGGGGCAGACAGACCAGATTGAACGGACGGACCAGATGGAGCGGATGGGGCCCCCCTTAGAGCCTTATACATTGGAGCTTCCCCAGGTGCACTCCCACACCTCCACCGCCACCACTGTCACCAGCGCTACTGGTGGTAACACGGTTACCACAACTGGCACCACCAGCGGCACTGCCACCACCACGGCTTCTGATTGGTCGGCGAACGTTCTTGTTGACTCCAACGATTCCTCCATGCAGATTTTCGGGCAGACAACGAATGTTTTCTGCCCGAATCAACAGTCGCCTACTGAAGTTTCTTGGAATTCTCCAACCGAACCATCTGTCCGAACCTCACTCCACCGAGCCTCTCTCTCTCGTCCGGCAACCGTCCCAGACAATCGTCCAGCCGTTTGCGCTGCCGAACCTCCGCCTCTTGTCCTCCCACCCTCGCTAGATGCCCTGTCATTGGCCAGCCTCAGTGCCGAACCTCTGTTGCTTCCATCCCTTCCGGAGAGGTTCGGGGGAGGTTTGGAGGATGAGGGGGTGGCTGGGGATGAGGGCTGGTTCTTGTGGCCTGACCTGTAAGGTACGAGTGGCATTGGTGCTACATACAACCACCTCCTGATGCTGTCTCACAGTTGAGCTTTATGGCGGGCTTCAATGTTGCGGTATTCAAGACGCCACCTGGTTAGCCACACCCCATAATCTCCTACTCTTGATAGAGACAGCCACCGCACTTGCCCAATCATGCTGCTGTGTTCCACGTGTCCAATTCCCCCGTGATGCTTCTGACTCCATTTGAGGCGCCACGTTGCCTTGTAAAGGATTCCCACGGGCTCGCGAGCACGAGGACCCGGTATGGACCGGCAGGATTTTTGGGCAGGATGTCAATCAACATGTCAGGTGCACGTAGTTTGATTTACGCATTCTCCTACGACCGACAGTGTAATAGGCATATTTCAAGCCATTCGTGTCCCCAAAACACACACGGCTTAGATCCATTTTGTATAATGTAAGCTTGTCCTAGTGGATAAACGTGCTTGGTACTTGATTTACTTGCACCTATAATCTGTGTTGTGGCCAAACGTGCCCATCACTTCTGCACTTGCAGCTACTGCTGCTCAAAACTATAATAGTGAAGCGCTTGAGGTATTTCTGTTGAAAGTACGGTTTGCTGGATGCTTATTCCGAAGCCTTTGTAGTGCGGATCGGGATTACCAGCTTCTGCATTTGCATTATTGGAGCTTCCCCCGCCCCGCCCACCTCCCCACCCCACCCGAGCGCTGGAAGTGTTTGACTTTCCGCTATTGTACAGTCATTCCCCGCCAGTCCATCCAACGTGCTGAGACGGACAGTCCGTGGCGGCTTGCATTATTCTACCCTTGGCTTGGTTTGGCGCTTCCCCTCTCGCGCGCACCTTTTCCCCCAACACCGCCCGTCCCTTCCGATCCCTTTCCGCTCGCTCACTCCGCATATTCAATTCCAAGCCAATCCAAGCCACACACACACCGCATCAGACGCGGTGGAAAACTCTACCACCTCACTTGACCATATCAAAACAACTCAAAACTCACGAATACACTCCACACCACACCAACCAGGAGGAGCCGGCAGCAAATCCGTTCATGAATCATGATGATCACTCAGTCCCCTCGCCGAGGTGTTTCAGCCAACGCTTTTCCAACCCGCAGCTTATGGACTCAGTTCACACAGAGCACACTTCATTCGAGTGCACTTAGGAGAATGCACTCCCCAGCTTGGCTGGGAAACAAGTGGCTGCTATTCGTAGATGAAAGTCAAGGTGGTCTGGAAATGTTTATGTACTAGAAGTGAATTGCGTGGCAATGGAGGTATTATTTCGTTCCGTCGTGGTAAATACTTCGTTAAAAGGTTATTGGAAGTATTAATTCCCGTAAGAGGAACCAATAGCCAAAGTCCTCAGGTAACCACCTTACGTCTCTTCACCAAAAATTGATCGCGGTTACGGATTCCTCCTAATTCGCATCCCGTAGTAGCAGCACGGCCGTTGTGCTCGGAGCTATCCACGCCGCATTCAACGCGCGCACTTTCGTTGCGACGCAAGCTTCAAGTGAACCCCCATCTATCAGACCTCAGCATTCAGTCATGGCGTTGCCGAGGCTGAGAATCGAACCGGGGGCGTTAGCATTCAGCTGTAAGCGCGCAGCTTTCAACCTCTCACTTCAACCTCACACTTCAACCTCTAGCCTAACCGTCGTCCCAGTCCCCCTCTGGGTCATGTCCTGTGGTAACCGTACCACCGTTTGTTTGTTCTCCATTCGGCCCAGCATCACCTCCTTCCGCGCCTTTCCGCGGTCCAGGCAACTAAGAATGTGCCGCGAACACCGCTGCTGAACTCTTTTCCACCTCTTTCGGATCGCCGCTTCCCTGCACGCTCCCCGCACGCTCACTCTCTCATCTCCCATTCCCCTCCTCTCCCCTTCTCCCCTCCCTTTCCCCCGACTCCCCCCGTACTACCGCTGCTCTCCCCCTCTTCCCCGTGGAGGCAGTCGAGGCGGGGAAGGAGCTGCGCACGCGCGTGAGGATCCACAACGATTACTCCAAGGACGTCGTTATCACGGTCAGTCTCCTCCTATCTCGAGTTGATTGTTGGGATTGATTGTGACTTTTGATTTGATTGAGTCGACTCAAAAGGAGCTGCGCACACGCGTGAGGATCCACAACGACTGCTCCAAGGATGTCCTCATCACGGTCAGTCTCCTCCTACGTAACTGCTCACTGCTCCGCTGCTCACTGCTCCGCTGCTCACTGCTCCGCTGCTCACTGCTCCGCTGCTCACTGCTCCGCTGCTCACTGCTCCGCTGCTCACTGCTCCGCTGCTCACTGCTCCGCTGCTCACTGCTCCGCTGCTCACTGCTCCGCTGCTCACTGCTCCGTTGCTCACTGCTCCGCTGCTCACTGCTCTGCTGCTCACTGCTCCGCTGCTCACTGAGCTGCTCCGCTGTGAGCTGCTCCGCTGTTAGTAGTAGCTCACAAAGACTGCTCCAAGGATGTCGTCATCACGGTCAGTCTCCTCCTACCTTCCCGCGTAGAACTAGAACCGTGCATGTCGTAATTGCTCACTCCTGCGATGATGTGAGGCACCTATCAGTTGGCTCCTTCCTCCTACCTCGTATCTAAGGACGTCGTCATCTCCTATCAGTTGCTCACAACGATTACTCCAAGCACGTCGTCATCTCCTATCAGTTGCTCACAACGATTACTCCAAGCACGTCGTCATCTCCTATCAGTTGCTCACAACGATTACTCCAAGCACGTCGTCATCTCCTATCAGTTGTTCACAATGATTACTCCAAGTACGTCGTCATCATGGTCAGTTGGCTTGGCTCCTTCCTCCTACCTCGTATCTATCAGCGACTGACAGTGAGTTAACTAGTGCTATGCTGTCAGAGCCCTATTGCTCACAACGACTGCTCCAAAGGCGTCGTTATCACGGTCAGTTTTCCTCCTATCCACCTGCTCATTGCTCGCTGTGAGTCCCTCCGCTGTTAGTCTCCCTCCCTCCCTCGCTCACTCTCTCACTCTCTCACTCCCTCCCTCCCTCCCTCCCCCTCCCCCCTCCCCCTACCCCCCTCCCTCCCTCCCCTCCTCCTTCCCTCCCTCCTGCACCACCAGATAAAGCCGGGCACGGTGCGCAAGTACGAGGTGAAGGACGGCACCAAGATCGTCGTGCCTGAAGGCTCCTCCTTCCTCCTCACTGGTAACCACATGCTCACTGGTAACCACATGCTCACTGGTAACCACATGCTCACTGGTAACCACATGCTCACTGGTAACCGCCTTTCCTTCCGTTGTCACGCTTAACCGCCTCGTTCCTCTCCATACTTGCTTCTTTGTGATGGCCCGTGCGTCACTGCAAACCACCTCTTTATTCCTCACACGTGCTTTCTCTCCCCCCCACGCCATCCCCGCGGTGTCGTGCGTGCCGCTGTCGTCCATGCCATGCCCTTCTGGCCCGACGCGTCTCAGTACCACCCGACGCGTCTCAGTACCACCCGACGCGTCTCAGTACCACCCGACGCGTCTCAGTACCACCCGACGCGTCTCAGTACCACCCGACGCGTCTCTGTACCACCCTACCCACCCGTCGCCCCTCTTCCCCCCACCCCACCCCTGCTCGCTGCAGTGTCGTGCGTGCCGCTGTCGTCCATGACATGCCCTTCTGGCCCAACGTGCCTCGCTGGCACCCGACCCGCCCCCCTCCCCTCTCTTCCCCCTCTCTTCCCCCTCTCTTCCCCCCCACGCCATCCCCGCAGTGTCGTGCCTGCCGCTGTCGTCCATGCCCTTCTGGCCCGACGCCTTCGTGCTGGCATGCCACATGCCCGCTGACAAGTTCACCCGCCGCCTCACGCTGCACACGGTGAGTGAGTTACTCAGCGTGTAGGGTGGGGAGGAAATGGTGGGAGGGACCTTACCTTCACATGCACACAGCAGAGAGAGTGCAGTGAGACGCCTTTGTGCCGGCATGCCACATGCCCGCTGACGTTTCACCCGCCGCCTCACGCTGCACATTGTGAGTGCGTAAAGGCAGGGGCATTGGAAGGAGCGACCGTCTTCACACTGCGAGGGGCACTGGTGCCTAACTTTGTGAGGCTGAAATGGCTGTGCAAGGAAGGCGGGATAAGGGGGGAATTCCAGTGCAAGCAACGCAGTGCGTCCAGTGCAAGCAACACAGTGCGACCAGTGCAACGTTATGTTAGGTCAATGTTTTGTTACTACTACGCGTGACCTTTGCCTCCCTTACCCCCTCGTCTTCCCCTCGACTTTGTTTCCCTCCGTTTGCATTCCTTTTCCCGTTTTTTTTTTTTACCTGTCCGTCTTGCCCTCCCCAGCCCATATCGTCGCTGCGCGTCGTGTGCCAGACGAAGCTTCCACTCGATCTGTACACCTGACACTCTCTCTTCCCCCCCGCCTCTCTCCCCTCTCCTCCCCCTCTCTCCTGCTCCGCCCCTATCAGCCCATGTCACAATTGCGCGCTGTGTGCCAGATGAAGCTGCCAGTGCTTTTCACAGACGAGGTCACCAAGGGGGTGGCGGAGGCGAGGAGCAGTGTTTCCCTCTCACTCACTCTTCCGTTTTGTTTCCTTTCCTCGCCCTCTCACCCACCCACAGCCCATGTCACAACTGCGCGCTGTGTGCCAGATGAAGCTGCCAGTGCTGTTCACAGACGAAGTCACCAAGAGAGTGGCAGAGGAGCAGTGTATCCCTTACACTCCCTCTTCCGTTTTTTCCCTTTCCTCTCCCTCTCGCCTCGTCCCCAGCCCATGTCGCAACTGCGCGCTGTGTGCCAGATGAAGCTGCCAGTGCTCTTCACAGATGAAGTCACCAAGGGGGTGGCAGAGGAGCAGCATGCGCAGGCGCTGGCACAGGCCCAGAAGCACAAGGAGAAGGGGAAGGCGAAGGAAAAGCAGGCGCAAGCGCTGAAAACCGTGAAGGAAGGGGAGGAGGGCGGGCAGGGAGGAGCGGAAGGGACAAGATCGCAGGGGGGGAAAGGCGGGAAGGGAGGGAAGGTGAAATTTGCAGGAGAGGCAACTGTGAAAGATGGGCTTTCACGTGTGTGGAAAGGCGGCAAGACAAAGAAGGATTTGGAAGAAGAGCAGGAGGAGGCGAGGAGGAAGGAGGAGGAGAGGAGGAGGGAGGAGGAGAGGAGGAGGCGGGAGGAGGAGGAGAGGCGGCTGATGGAGAGGGCGGAGAGGAGGGAAGAGATGAGTGGGCAGTCAATGGACCGGCTTCTCACCTCCATTGCTGCCAAGGACAAGAGCCACGTCTATGTGCGTGCATAACATTGCCTGCATGCTTCCTGTCTCTACGCATGCATGTTCCCCAGTTTACACATGGACAAGAGCCACGGCTATGTGGGAGAACACACACGGCGATGTGGACCCTCTCATCACGGCGATGTGGACCCTCTCATCACGGCGATGTGGACCCTCTCATCACGGCGATGTGGACCCTCTCATCAAGACGTCACGCGCGGACTTAAAGCTTCTACATGTCCAGTTCACATTACACACGCTTCCCCCTTGCCATATCGCACACCCCTTCCCTCCTCTCTCCCTCCCCTCCTCCCCACTACAGCTGTGGGAGCTCTTTCTCAAGACGTCCGGCGCGGATTTCAAGCTGCTCTCCCTTCTCCCCCACTCCCCCTCCCCCCTGCCCCCGTTCCCCTCTCCCCCTCCCCCCTGCCCCCGTTCCCCTCTCCCCCTCCCCACTACAGCTGTGGGAGCTCTTTCTCAAGACGTCCCGCGCGGATTTCAAGCTGCTGCAGCAGCGCCTGGAGGCAGCACTGCTGGAGGTGCAGGCCGTCAAGTCGCAACTGGTGGGTGCTGCTGGGTGCTGCTGGGTGCTGCTGGGTGCTGCTGGGTGCTGCTGGGTGCTGCTGGGCGCTGCTGGGTGCTGCTGGGTGCTGCTGGGTGCTGCTGGGTGGTAGTGAGAGGCAAGGCAGTGGATGTGGGTGCATGCAATGCAAGCAAGGTCAGAGCAGCGCTTTGCTTTCTGACCAATCTCACGACCTCATTGCTGGGCTTCCATTGCTCTCCTTCTCGCTCTGTACCCGGCACACCAAGCTCCTTCACACCAATCTCCTTGGCACCAAGCTCCTTCAATCTCCACATTCAGGTACACAACTCCTCTCCATCCCTCTCCCCCTCCTCAGCCCCCCCCTTCCCCCACACCTCCCCTTGCTCCCACTTCCTCTCCCTTCCTCCCCCTCTCGTTTCACTTAGATTTTCGGACCTGCAAACCCTCTCTCCGTATCATTCTCAAACCTCTCTGACTCCTCGTTGCTTTTTGAGTCTCTCGCTTAACTCTTCTTTTCCTCCCCCCTTCCTTCACCAGGTCATGGATCCGCCTGCTCTCACCATCTCCTTCTCAAGCCTCTCCGACTCCTCGCCGCTTTTTGAGTCGACTCATGAGTCTTCCCCCTACCTCGCCCCTACTTCCCCCTACCTCGCCCCTACTTCCCCCTACCTCGCCCCTACTTCCCCTCTTCCCCTTACCTTCCCCTCTTCCCCTTACCCTCCCTTCTTCCCCTTATCTTCCCCTCTTCCCCTTACCTTCCCCTCTTCCCCTTACCTTCCCCTCTTCCCCTTACCTTCCCCTCTTCCCCTTACCTTCCCCTCTTCCCCTTACCTTCCCCTCTCCCCCTTACCTTCCCCTCTCCCCCTTACCTTCCCCTCTCCCCCCTAACTGCATCCAGGTCATGGATCTGCCAGCTCTCACCGTCTCCTTCTCAAGCCTCTCCGACTCCTCGCTCCCCTCGCCCACCAAAGCCTCCTCCGCACCCTCCCGAGACACCAGCTTCGCACCACCGCACTCCACCGCTCCCTACTCCCGCTCCTTTTCCAACAACCAGCTGAACCCCTCCGGCAGCAGCAGCAGCTCAGAACACGCCAACATGCGCCCGCCCTTCACCCCGAAACCCACCACGTCCGAATCCGCACTGCTCCCAGTGTCCATCTCCTCGCTCTCCTCCGCCCAGCTGTCCTCTCTGACCTCTCTGGCGTCCTCCTCCAGCAGTCTGCAGCTGGGCGGGTCAGGGGGGTCGCGGACCCTGAGCAAGTGGGGCGCGGGGGGGGAGAGTGCGGTTGAGAAGGAGCTGCAGCGCAAGGAGATGATGCGGAGGGCGTTGATAGAGGAGAACAACGAGCTCAAGGATAGGCTGGAGGAGAAGGAGAAGCGGGAGAGGCAGGCGCTGCGCAAGGCGGATGTCATGAAACAGGATGCGGTGAGTGGGGCGGGGCGGGGCGGGCGGGTGAGGTGAGGGTGGGGTGTGGAGAAGGGGGAACATGCTTGTGTGCTTTCTTTGGAGGAGAGGGAGAAGAAGGAGCGGCAGGCGCTGCGCAAGGCGGATGTCATGAAACAGGACGCGGTGAGTTGGGCGGGCAGGTGAGGTGGGTGGGGGTGGGGTGTGTTGGGGGGGGATGCATGTATGGTTCCTTTGTTTATTATTCTCAAAGGTGAGTGGGGTACGGCAGGGGAGAGTGCGGGGGAAAAGGAGCTTCAGCGCAAGGAGATGATGCCGCGGGCGCTGATTGAAGAGAATAATGAGTTGAAGGATAGGTTGGAGGAACGGGAGAAGAAGGAAAGGCAGGCTCTGCGCAAGGCGGAAGTTATGAAGTAGGACGCGGTGAGGAGGGGGGGGGGAGAGGAGGGGGGGAGGTGGGGAAGGCGAAGAGGAGATGAGGGAGAGGAAACGGTTGGGAGGCTGAGCAATAATGGAGTAGTTTTTTAGGGTTTCCTTTCCTCTTGCTCTCTGTGAACGCCCATGTCAGCTTTCCTGTTTCAGTTGTTTCGCTTCCTCTTCCTCTCCCCATGCGCACCACCTTCCCCTCCCATGATTAAAACCTTTCCCATGCAATCCACCTACCTTGTGCCTTCCATCTTGTTCTACAAGCTTTACACCTCACGCCCTCCCCTCCTCGTTCCGATTTTAGTCGTGTTTTGAGTCGACTCAAAACACCTTCCATCTTGTTCTACAAGCTTTACAGCATCACGCCCTCTCCTCCTTGTTCCGATTTTAACACTCGCAATGCACGTGGCAGGACATGACGAGGAGCCAGCTGCAGGCGATGCAGCAGCGGCTGGAGGAGGAGGAGGCGCAGCGGCAGACGCTGCTGAGGGAGCTGCAGGCGCTCAGAGCCCAGGTGGTGAGCGGAGGACAGCAGCTGCAGCAGGCGCAGGCACAGCAGCCGCAGCAGGTGCAGCAGCCACAACAGGGGGTTGCGGAGGAGGAAAAGGAGGAGAAGCAGCAGCAGCAGCAGCAGCAATGGGAGACTGAGGAGCAAGCAGGGGAGTCGCAGGAGGAGACAGACCATGAGCATGCGCATGCGCATGCAGACAAGCAAGGCGAGGAGGGGTTGCAGACTAGTGATCAGTGTAGTGAGAGGGCGAGTAGTGAGAGAGAGGAGGAGGGGGCGAAGAGGAAGGAGAAGAAGGAGAAGAAGAGTAAGGAGGAGAAGAAGGAAAAGAAGAAATCCAAGGAGAAGAAAGCAAAGGAGGGTTCAAAAGGAGGGACTGACGGGGAGGAGGAAATGCAGCAGCAGAAGGAGGTGACGCAGCAACAGCAGCAAGAGCAGCAAAGTCCAGAGCAGCAAGAGCCTGATTTCATGTCATTTCTGATGAAGCAGGCTGCTGCAGATGCTGCCGCGAAGAGTGCTTCACACGGAATAACTACGTATGCTCCTGCTGCTGCTGCTCCCATTGCTGCTCCTGCTGCTGCTCGTCCGGCTGTTGCTGCTGCTCCTGCTTCTGCCAGCGCTGCTGTTACCTCCCCCGGACCAGCAAGTATCAGGACTCCTCGCAAGCTGGAAATTCCGTTCAACAACAACGATGATGATGATGATTATGACATTCGGGGGAGCTTGGCTGCTCCTCCTGCTGCTGCTCAGACCGTTGCTTCTGCCTCTCGTGTTCTTCCCAACGCTGCTCCTGCACCTGCTCCTGCGTCTGCTCCTGTAGCTGCTGCTACTGCATCCCTGGGGGCGTCAGCCAGCAGGGGGCGTGGGAAGCTGGTCATTCCCTTTGACGACGACGACGATGACGATGCCTAATGAAAAGCATGAGATGGAAGAGGGAATAGCAACTGGCAACGCGTTTGAGGCGCTCGAAACATCGCCTCTGGAGCCGTCAGAAAGCAGGGGGTGTGGTAAGCTGGTCATTCCAATTGACGACGAGTCGACGACGACGATGACGATGACGATGTCTAGTCAAAGCAAGAGCGGAAAGGCAGAATACGCAAGTGGAGACGGCAGCATGGTGGCAAGTGGAGGCGGAAGATGTAGAGCAAGAGATGAAAGAGCTCTAGCATGTGTTCACGGCTGCACGTGCAACAGTGTGAGCAGCGTGGTGGTACAAGCAGGAATAGTGCTGCTCATAATCCCTCTTGGAGGCGGCAAAGGAAATCACTCGGGTGAATCTCTGCTGGAAGATGATGATCCTGTGACCTGTCTTTTCATGCATGTGGACCTTATCACTTGTCTAGTAAACCTGCTGCGTGGACTCCAAACTAGCTGAATGTTTGACTTATATATCGAATTGCTGTATCGAGTGTGATTTCCAATAATTGCAGTTTCTTCTGTGATCGAAACGACAACTTCAAGGCGGACCTCCTCGATTTCCCCGATTCATTGAGGCTTTGTTTTGCATGCGCATCAGCCCGCATCAATGTGCATTGATACATTCTATGATGGCTCCAGAATCCTTCCGCGATAACCTGCCGACAGGTTATCAAGGCTCGAGGTAAGCGCGTGGCTGCCGAGGCAAACCAAGCCCGAATACCTGCAGAACGGCCTTTTTGGCGACCAACACATTTGCCGCGCTCCCAGTAATTTTTCGTCCTACCAATCTGGCGCATCATTGATGCTGGCATCATCCTACTCCGAGAAGTCGGATGATGCGCGCATCAGCTCGAATGGGGCAACTGAAAGCATGTTCTGTCTGACTTCTAAGAAGCCCGCTTCTCCAATTTCACGAAATTGGAGGTTGAAATGTCCGCAGCCCAATCTCCAATTTCTCAATCCCCAAACCTCAATGTCCCAATGTCCGCATCCGGCCGAGCTTCAGGCGCATCAGAGCTGATGCGCCTGCAGAACGTAGCCTGGAGTCTTTCAGCCCGTCTTCAAGACAAGTTATGCGGGGCAGCGATTTGAGAAATTCGAGAGTTTGAGCAAAATTTCATGGTAACTTCTGCCCAGCAAATTGAGAGTTTCGACATTTGGTGCGGCGAGAAGCTACACGGAAGGACTAAGTCCGTACATTTGGTGCGGAGGCAATAACGCCTACAGAACAACGCCTCTGTCGTTTTCAGATTCCGTAACTTAGAGTTCCACCTCCTCAATCAAGCTCACAGATCAGCGAGAATCTCTACGATTCTTCTTGGTCAGGCAAAATCCGTAGCACTGGTGGTGCCTTTATTGAGCGAACATCTGGGACAAAGCAAGGCCAACGAATCTCGCCGAGGCTGAGAATTCGGTTCTTCTGGGAATGCTGTTTCGCTTCTTCCTTCACAATTGCGTAGCAAGGCAGCTGAAGTTGCGTTCGTAAGAATGGCAGCAGCTGCTGTTCATATCCAGCCGAAGTCTCTGACATTCCCGTGTAAGACAACAGTCACTGACACCTTGTTACCACCATTAGCGGCCTTTCATTAATCAGGCTTTTCTCGACTTGTGTGACGTCATTAGCGACCCCTTCTTTTAAATCGTTCATTGCACAGCATATACAATGAAGTCCTGTACTTTACATCTGGCAGTCGAGGCGAATAAGGAGCTTTCGGTGACCGTTCAAATAATCAACGGTTACCCTCGCGAAATCCTACTCTTTGTGAGTGACAGGAAGATGCGAACCAAGGGAGGAGGATGTGAGGAGGATGATGTGAGGAGGAACATGTGAGGAAGATGTGAGGAGGATGATGTGAGGAGGAAGATGTGAGGAAGAAGATGTGAGGAGGATGATGTGAGGAAGAAAATGCGAGGAGGAGGATGTGAGTATTTTCTGTTTCCTCCTCAACGATCCGTTCAATGTTCTTTGCAGCGGCGTTAGACGATTCTTCTGTCTGATTTTTAGCATTCTGCCTTTTATCCTCGCCAAATCAAATCACTCTGCTTCGCTCTCTTGCGCCCTGCACCACTCACTCTCGCAACTTCTCCACCCTTCTCCGCTGTTGGAGCAGGTGGACCCTGGGTCAGTGCGAAGCTACGCGGTGGTGGAAAGGCTGAAGCACATTGTGCAGACAGGACGGTCGATTATTGACATTTGATTCCACTCAAGAGTCACATTGTTCCGTGTGCAGGTGGAGCCTGGTTCAGTGCGAAGCTACGCGGTGGTGGAAGGGCTGAAGCACATTGTGCAGACAGGACGGTCGATTATTGACATTTGATTCGACTCAAGAGTCTCATTGTTCCGTGTGCAGGTGGAGCCTGGTTCAGTGCGACGCTACGCGGTGGTGGAAGGGCTGAAGCACATTGTGCAGACAGGACGGTCGATTATTGACATTTGATTCGACTCAAGAGTCCCATTGTTCCGTGTGCAGGTGGAGCCTGGTTCAGTGCGACGCTACGCGGTGGTGGAAGGGCTGAAGCACATTGTGCCGACTGGAGGATCCACCACACTCACAAGTACGCTCTGTCTGACGCTAACAAGTAGGCATGGCATCACACTCGCAGGTACGCACTGTTTGATGCTAACAAGTATGCATGGCGTCACACTCGCAAGTATGCATGGCGTCACACTCACAAGTATGCATGGCGTCACACTCACAAGTATGCATGGCGTCACACTCACAAGTATGCATGGCGTCACACTCACAAGTATGCATGGCGTCACACTCGCAAGTATGCATTTCATCACTCACAAGTATGCATTGCATCACACTCACAAGTATGCATTGCATCACACTCACAAGTATGCATGGCGTCACACTCGCAAGTATGCATGGCGTCACACTCGCAAGTATGCATTTCATCACTCACAAGTATGCATTGCATCACACTCACAAGTATGCATTGCATCACACTCACAAGTATGCATGGCGTCACACTCGCAAGTATGCATTTCATCACTCACAAGTATGCATTGCATCACACTCACAAGTATGCATTGCATCACACTCACAAGTATGCATGGCATCACACTCACAAGTATGCATTGCATCATCTCGGTCACACGTATGGCATCACATTCACTAGTATGCATTGCGTCACACTCACTGTTATGCATTGTATCATTTTCTAACTTCCTCGACCTTCCTCTCTTCATCTCTCACCCACCTTCCCCTCTCCGTCCCTCACCCACCTTCCTCTCTCCCCCCCAGTGCTGTGCTCTCCCCTGCCAGCCATGCCCATCTTCCCTGACCAATTCCGTGTAACCACCTACAGGGCTGGTTACCACTCCTCAGACGCCCTATCGATCTGCAGTGTACGTCACTCACTCACCCCCACTGCACATCACTCGCCTTGATTAAGCGCCGCGTATGCCTCTCATACTATGTCGCGTCTGAAGCCTCTCATACAATGACGCATCTGAAGCCTGTCATGCTATGACGCACCTGAAGGTTCTCGGGCTGTTGCGCGTCTGAAGGCTCTCAAGCTTCGCAGCTCTTAGAATATGGCCAGACAGCTGGCTCTCGAGGCACCTGCAACCGTTGTGTATCTTGTGTCTTTGTCCACTCCAGCCATGCTCTTTAACCTCCAAGCCACGGCGACTTTTGAGTCGACTCAAAAGTCATCTTGTGTCTTTGTCCACTCCAGCCATGCTCTTTAACCTCCAAGCCACGGCGACTTTTGAGTCGACTCAAAAGTCATCTTGTGTCTTGGTCCACTCCAGCCATGCTCTTTAACCTCCAAGCCACGGCGACTTTTGAGTCGACTCAAAAGTCATCTTGTGTCTTTGTCCACTCCAGCCATGCTCTTTAATCTCCAAGCCACGGCGACTTTTGAGTCGACTCAAAAGTCATCTTGTGTCTTTGTCCACTCCAGCCATGCTCTTTAACCTCCAAGCCACGGCCATGCCTGTGCTTGAGTCATCTGACGAGATGCCATGCGTAACGCAACGCATATGCATACTTGTCAGTGTGACCCAACACGTGTGTACCTTACACCCGCAATCCCTTCCCCTCTCCCACAACCCCACCCCATCCCCCTCTCTTGTTACAGCCGCTGTCCTCTCTTGAGATTGTGAGTGCAACCAATCTGCCAGTGCTGTTCGTCTGCAAGTCTGCCAGCACGAGGGGAGTAGCGTCTTCAGGAATGGGTGAGAAGCGGGGGATAGCAGCAGCGCATGCAGCACGGGAAGGGATTGGGGTAATGTGGGCAGTAGTGAGAGATAAGCTAGGGAGGCTGCAGCAGGAGAGGATGGGGGAGGGACAGGAAGAGGAGAAGGTGAGGGAGGAGGAGCAGCAGGTTGAGCTGGGAGCGGTAGACAGGCGGATAATTCTATCCAAGGGTGGTGTGGCGGCAAAGGAAATGGCGCGAGTGCGGGAATTGGATTCTGCTCAAAGTGAAAGCAAAGGGCGAGTTCAAGGGGTTGGGCGAGGGCAAGAATCAAGAACGGAAGGAACGAGGATCGAAGGAGGGAGGGAAAGTCCCGGAACAGAGGGAGCAGGGACTGAAGGAGTATGGAGGGAAGGAGCAGCAGCAGAGATGAGTTCAGCGGCCAACAACCCAACAAAGTGGCTCATATCACGAGTCATGAGCCGGCATCCGAGCCACGAATATGTATGTACGTGCTGCTGTGACTTTTCAGTCGACCCACATGGTCACCTCATATATCACGAGTCATGAGCCGGCGTCCAAGCCACGAATATGTATGTACGTGCTGCTGCCACTTCTCAGTCCAGTCCTCTGAAAGGTCGTCCCATTTCAGCAGCAGCAGAGAGGAGTTTACCAGGTCACAATTTAACGAGGTGGCTCATATCACGAGCCATGAGCCGGCATCCGAGCCACGAATATGTATGTACGTGCTTCTGTGAGTTCTCAGTCGCCTCCAATAGTCACCTCATTTCACAGCCGCCCCCCCCCCCTCTCGAATGGTCCTGGTATTGATTGATGGGAGATACATGGGAAGATGCAAACACATGCAAACCCAGACATAACACTCGGTCTACCTAACTACCTCATTCCCTTACTCCCTCCCGCCCCCTCCGTCCGACCCTAAAGGTCGAACGAGGGCTCTATTAGCTGGTAGAGCTGGCCTTCGCTAAGGGGGGCAAAGGGGCCCCGCATGCCGAGCTCGTCCGCTGCTATCGCCTCGTTGGTCTTGCAGCGGAGGGCGTTGGCTTGTGCTTTTTGGAGGCACACGCTCCAGCGCTGGCGGTATTCCGTCAGCAGCTTGGCGGCCTCGTAGGAGTTGGGGGCTGCGTTGAATCGCAACTTGGCCGCCAGCTCCGCGCACTGCCGCAAGAATGCCAACACCCCGGGCGAGGGGTACCCATATGTCTCTACCGCTAGGGCATGAAAGCCCACCCACGCATTCCGGCGCGCGTATTTCTGCTCCTTGTCCGCAGCTGCCCTAGCCGCCCACCCCGGTGCTCTATTGCAGTTCTCATCTTGGTGAGAAACGGGGTCCGTCACTGTCACGTCGCACATCCAAACCTCTCCCGTCCGGGGATGGCGGATTGCGACGTCCGCCTTCAGGTTTCAACGAGAGAGTATACATAGGTTTCTTTGTGCACCGTGAATCCCGCCTCTGCCGCAATCAAAGCAATCTCGTCCCTGAGCGCATGGTGAGTCGCAATCCTTCCCCCCCCTTTCTCGCAGCGCATGAGATGGTTTGGGAGGCGGTCATCAGGGAATTTGGTGCGGTAGCGGCAGTCGCAGCGCCTGGGGACAGGTAGGGGGAGGCCCAAGCGAAACGCAGCAGCGGAGGAGAGCTGGGAGGGTCCCATCCTAAGCGAGGGTATGATGGGTAGTGCCAGCAGCCAATCTCCCGCACCAGGGCCGAGCGCCGACTGCATTCTCTGGGCATGGCCAGAGAGGGGGTTGGGGCGCATCCGCCTTGCCTGGTTCATGACCCTCAGGAAGCGGCGTGTCTGAACCGCCAGCGCTAGAGACTGCTGCAGCTTGAGGCCCTGTGGGTCTGCTTTCCCGGCCTGGAGAGCTTCTAGAGCCTCGGGGGGGAGGGCTGCTTCCGCTGCTGCAAGGCGTGCAGGCAGGGCGTGCGCGGAGCCGGAGGTGGGGTCCATTAGGGGGAGGAGGGCTGCTACATCTGGGTGGAGTACCTCGGCCAGGGAGTGCAGTAAGTGGGAGGTGCCCACCACCGACGCAAGGTACGCATAGCTCCCTTCAACTGCAGGATTTGTAATGCCAAGCCCCCCCAATGTTACGGCCAGCGCCGCTTGCCTCCAGATTCTCCTCTGTTCCGCGTCACTCCTTGGCAGCATGATATGGGCCGCGTCCAGGAAGGTATGCAGCAGTTGCTCCCCCCATGCCGCCCATTCATCCTCACGTAGTGCCTCTAGCGGAGTGGTTCTGGCCAGGAAGGATGCTCGCCGGCCCACGCAGCGGGTGAGTAGCAGCAGGCACAATTGGGGGTCCATTTGGGCCAGGAGCGGCAAGGGTTCTGCTGCTGCTGCAAGCCTTTCCCTTACTCTGGCGGCACAGCTATCTGAGGTCCCGATTGGGCTTCCTAATATCCGCAGTCCGTCTGCTGCAATGGGGAAGCTTGGAGGGAGAGAGGCGGGGTCTATGGCGGTTGCAGACCAAGCCTCACACTTCCCAAGGTTGTGCTCGAGGCCTATGTGGATCAGTGCGGCAGTGAGGTGTGTAAATGCCGCCGTGCACGCTTCTGCTTCGCCTAGCAGCGTTATGTCGTCTGCATAGGCGAGAATGACGACCCTTGGGTGAGCTAGTGCCGTTGCGGTAAGGTGTGGGTGGATGCTTGCCGCAAAGAGCAAGGGGCCAAGAGGGTCCCCCTGGCGGACGCCTCTAGCACTTAGCAGTGGAGCCACGCCGAAGTCATGCTCGAGGTGGAGTGCTGAGGGAGTTCCGTAGGAGAGGCGGACAAGGGGCAGAAGGCTTTCAAGGGACTCGTTCTTGAGCCCCTCGAATACCGCCGCCCTTTCCACCGCGTTAAACGCGTTGGCGAGGTCAATCTGCAGCGCCACCGAGCCCGGGTTCTCTTCCAGGTATGTGCGCGCAGTGTGAATGGCCGCCTCAATCCCTCCAGCCACTGCTACCCCGAACTGTAGAGGCGCGAAGTGTGATCGTGCCGCCGCCCCAGTCAGGAACAGTGCTGCCTTGGCCACCATGCGAAGAAGGCATTCGCCCACGGCTATTGGTCGGGTCCCCCCCTGCGGTTTTGTGAAGGCCAAGAGCCGTGAGGCTGTGAGGAGCTCAGTGGCCTCGCTGCTGAGTTTCCCGGCTATAGCTGTATTGGTAAGTGCGAGGAGATGGGCGAAGATGTCTGGATTTCCGAGTGCAGCATCGCGTATGTGCTCGAAGGTTGTGCCTGAGGGCCCTGCTCCCACCCCGTTTGGGAGTTTGGCTACGATGCGCCTGAAGTCGCGCGGCTCTATCGAAGGGGTTTTCTCGGGGGAGAAGGTGCGTATCCATTCTGGTAAGGGCTGGAGTGCTTGCGGGTGTCGTGCTGCTAATGCCGCGTACACTTCGGAGGAGGCAGGTGAGACCGGAGTGGCTTGGAGGGACTGTAGTGACTTGGCCAGGTTACCACGCTTGGCCAGTCCCTTCGCTCTAACAAGGATGCCCTGAGTGTCACGTAAGTGACGTGGCTGGGCTGGGAGGGAAATTGCTTCAACTGCCTCGTCGTACAGGCCAGACCAGAGTCCCTGGCGGAAACGAAGGAGGCGATTCATCATCGCGTTCCAGTCTGGTTTGCGAGCTGACGAGGTGCGTAGGAGGATTCGCGGGAGGAAAGTCAGTAACCTCCACCCCGCGGTCGAGTTGGGATTGGCTGCCAGGTGGAGGAGTGGGGTGAGTAGGCAGACTGCGAATGATTCGCGAAGGTCTTTTGGCGGGTGACGGGCGAGGGGGGGCTGGCGACTGTCGCGCAGTGGGTCCAGGTCCCAGCCTGTGACTTGCGCGAAAAGGTCCAGTCGTTTCGCCAAGTCGCCTGGGTGGATCATTGGTGGGGTTGGAGTTGGGGTTGGGGTGTTCCTATTGGTTGCGGCAGAGTCAAATGTGATTTCTGTCGCGGTCCGATTTCCCCTCCAGGCCTGATTTCCCCCCACATTCCGATTCCTGGCTGGGGTTCGTGTTGCAGACGCGGCTCCAATTTGTTGGTCCGGGAACTCAGCCCCACGAACCAAGAGCTCCTCATCATCTTCATCAGCTTCAGCATCCAAACCTCCCTCCGTTTCGGGGTTAAAACCTAGGTCACCCTCGTCACTCTCGTCATTCTCCGATTCACCACTCTCCCCCCTGCTAGCAGCTTCCTCGCCGCCTTCCGCGCCTTCCCGGAGTAGTCTTTCTGCTGTCCTCGCATAGCCGCTCGCGCCTGTACGTCGGCCTCCTCTCCTCCTAGCTCCTCTTCCTCGGCGTCCTCTCCCGCCTACGCGTCGTCCGCCAGGTGTGCCACTCCTCGCGATTGGGCTGTGCATTACAGGCGTGCGGTTTTCGCCGATCTCCTCCCCTGCCAAGCGGGGCTCTGGCGTCCTCGGCTCACGCCTCGGTCGTGATGGCGGGGTCCGTGGGTCGCGACCGCGCCTTGGAAGCAACCGCGGAGAGCGCTCAGCTTGTTGCGCAGCCAAACCCCGAGTATGCGCCTCCGCGTTCCCAAATGCAGGCTCGTCCTGCTGCGTCGGCGCCCGTGCGCCGTCTTGAGCGCGGGTTGTCTCTTCCGCTGCGCGGGGCGGATCGTCACGCGTCTCCTGAGCAATCCCGTGCTCCCCTAGTCGTCGCGTCGAATGCCTTGCCGGGGCATCAGGAGCGGGGCCGGTCCTCGCCGCCTCGTGGATATCGACCCGCGTCCCCTGCGCGTCGCGCCCCCGAGCCGCATGACTCTCGGCGGCGATGGGACGAATATCAGCGGGAAATTCAGCATCGCGACTGCCGCTACCGCTCTTCTGAGAGGTCGCCGGAGAAGCGCTCCCCGCGGGAGCGGTCCCCTCCGCAGCGGACGCCGCGGCCGTCGCCTCCGCGTCGGGGCCGCGGGGCTCATGCGGGCCGTTGGGATTCTCGCCGCCGTGAGCAGTCCCTGCCCCGTCCTCAGTCGGCTGGGTCTGGAGGGCGTCGTGGGCGGCGGAATGGTTATGCGCGCGGCGGGGGTAGTCGTGGCCAGGGCTCCACTGCTGACCGCGCGGGGAATCTGGTGGCGGATGCAGTGCGGGAGGTGGAAGCGTCGGGGGCAGCGGCTCACATTCACGTGTCTGTGACCACTGAGCCCCCCACCGCACCTGTTGCGGTTGAAGCCGCTCCGCTGCGCGCTCCGAACTTGCGGGAGTATCTGCCAGCTGCAGCGGCGAGGGGGCCGTTCCGCGGATGCCGCCAAGCCCCAGGTTACCCTGCTCCTCAGAATACGGTTGGCCAGACTCCGGGCCAGGTGGCGATGTTTCTGCCGCGCGGAGTTCCGACTGCGCCTCTCCCCAGCCGCGCGGGGAGAGATCCCACGCTGAGCATGTGCCGGATGTGGAATTTGGCGGGGGCGGCCGAGGGGCTGGCGAGCCTGCAGCTGGCGGCGTGTGAGGCCATGGGTCACACACCGAGCAGTTTTTCTCTAGGGCCCCAAGGACAGTGCGTCGCTTGGGCAGGAGAGATTGTCCCCCTTTTATCGCCCGTGTCGGATGCGCCCGCCGGGGTAGCACCCTTAGCCCGTACCTTCCCCCGCCTCGCTCTTGATCTTCACGCTGCGGCTCAGCACGGGACCCCTGTTGACACTCTTCGCTTCTCGGCGGAGCTTCTCCACTCGATGGCGGGGTGTCTTCTCGCGATGCTTGAGGCGGAGGGGGCTGGCCTGTACACGCAGTAGAGCGGCGTCTCGTGTAGTATTGCATCTTGATCGTAAGGTGATGCTCTCCAGTTGCTTGATTTCTTCCTTCTTGGAATGCCTTGCTTGATCAACTCCTTGTGTGAGTGTCTTGCCTCTGAAACGCGCGGCCGAAGGCCGCCGGCGCGAGCCGCGGGAAACTGAGAACACACGAAATAATGAGGAGAAGAAGGCACCAAGGGCCCTTAAATAGGCTCAGAGGAAGAGGGCCGAGGGAAGAGGAAGAGGGCTGGGTGCTAAGGCCTTCTCTCTCTCGCTGAGAGCCGCGGGAAACTGAGAACACACGAAATAATGAGGAGAAGAAGGCACCAAGGGCCCTTAAATAGGCTCAGAGGAAGAGGGCCGAGGGAAGAGGAAGAGGGCTGGGTGCTAAGGCCTTCTCTCTCTCTCTCCCTTCCTTACCAGTCCTCCTCCCGCTTCCTCCTCCCCTTAATGGCTCTTATGAGTGTCTTGATGTTGGTCAAACTCTAGCCCTCTTCCTTCACCCCACGCCCCTCCCTCCCATCCCTCGCTCCCGCTTTCTCCCTCACTTATGACTCGACTCAATTCCTCCCCTTTCCCCGCCCCCCCTCCCCCCTCCCCCTTCCCCCCTCCAAGCAGCTGTGGGAGAGATTTCTTAAGTCCACTCGTGCGGACTTTGCAGGACTGCAGAGGCACGTGGTGGACGTGAGCTTGCAGATGGAGCAGTTGCGGGAGGAGAACCAGAGGCTCAGGGAGGCGCTGCAGCAACAGCAGGTACAGGGGGCAGAGGGGGGCACGCTAGAGGTAGGTGTTACGATCACTGTACCCCACGCAGAGGCACGTGGTGGACGTGGGCATGCAGATGGAGCAGTTTCGGGAGGAGAACCAGAGGCTCAGGGAGGCGTTGCAGCAACAGCAGCAGCAGGTATGGGAGACAGATGGGGGCAGGCTACAGGTAGGTAGGTGCTGCATCCGTCAAGCTTGGTGGTTTCTAGTTTCAGATGACACTGCAATGCCTGTTACGTAGAAAGGATGACACCATGGTTGAAAGGGACTTGGCTGTTGGTATTGAGTCAGAATGTTGTTGCCACTTGGGGAGGGCAGCTGCTCTAGAGCCACAATGCAGCTGCTGCAGCAGTCTTGAGTTTCACGCACGAATGCTACCAGCAACCACTGACTCGACTTGCCTTGCACTGAGCCATGGTTTGCGTTCTCAAAATCCACCCTTTTCCTGTCCGCCGCCTCTACCTCCCCCCAGTCTGCACAGGTCTTGGAGGTGTGGGAGGGTATGGGGGAGGAGGAGGAGGCGCAGGGGAGGGAGGAGGTGCAGCGAGAGCTCTGGGAGGAGAACAAGCAACTACAGGCTTCTCATGCTTCTGAAGCCTGCGCGGATTCTGAGGCACCTCAAGAAGCACCGCTGGGAGGGAGCAGCGACCTCAATCCTTCTGAAGCTTCAGAGGCTTTTCAGCCTTCAGAGGCTTCTGCGACTTCAGCGGCTTCGGAGGCCTTAAATGTGGGTCAAAGGACACTGGTGGAGGAGAGGGTGGAGGAGAGGGAGAGGGCTGTGAGGGCGGCTCAGAGCACTTTGGACGCTCTCTCCTGTGAGCTGGTGAGTGGTCTGTCTGTGGAGCATTGGTGATGGCTGGCATGCACTCCGCACCCCTTCTCACCACACCCCTGCTCAACACTTGTTTCCTCACCGCTCCGCCCCTTCTTCTCTCCCCCAACCCCTGCAGGCAGCAGCGCAGTCCCAGTTGTCAGCAGCGCAGCAGCAGGCGCAGTTGGAGAGAGAGGGGCGGCAGAGGCTGGCAGGGGAGCTGGCTTCCATGCAGGCGCTGCTGCTGCAGCAGATGCAGATGGTGGCGGAACAGAAGGAGCTCATTGCAAGGCTCCTTGAGCGTGAGCAGCATCAGGCTGACGTTTTAGAGCCAGGAGGGTCAGGGACAGTGGGCCAAGGGGCAGTGGGCCAAGGGGCAGTGGGCCAAGGGGCAGTGGGCCAAGGGGCAGTGGGCCAAGGGGCAGTGGGCCAAGGGGCAGTGGGCCAAGGGGCAGTGGGCCAAGGGGCAGTGGGCCAAGGGGCAGTGGGCCAAGGGGCAGTGGGCCAAGGGCCAGTGGGCCAAGGGGCAGTGGGCCAAGGGGCAGTGGGCCAAGGGGCAGTGGGCCAAGGGGCAGTGGGCCAAGGGGCAGTGGGCCAAGGGGCAGTGGGCCAAGGGGCAGTGGGCCAAGGGGCAGTGGGCCAAGGGGCAGTGGGCCAAGGGGCAGTGGGCCAAGGGGCAGTGGGCCAAGGGGCAGTGGGCCAAGGGGCAGTGGGCCAAGGGGCAGTGGGCCAAGGGGCAGTGGGCCAAGGGGCAGTGGGCCAAGGGGCAGTGGGCCAAGGGGCAGTGGGCCAAGGGGCAGTGGGCCAAGGGGCAGTGGGCCAAGGGGCAGTGGGCCAAGGGGCAGTGGGCCAAGGGGCAGTGGGCCAAGGGGCAGTGGGCCAAGGGGCAGTGGGCCAAGGGGCAGTGGGCCAAGGGGCAGTGGGCCAAGGGGCAGTGGGCCAAGGGGCAGTGGGCCAAGGGGCAGTGGGCCAAGGGGCAGTGGGCCAAGGGGCAGTGGGCCAAGGGGCAGTGGGCCAAGGGGCAGTGGGCCAAGGGGCAGTGGGCCAAGGGGCAGTGGGCCAAGGGGCAGTGGGCCAAGGGGCAGTGGGCCAAGGGGCAGTGGGCCAAGGGGCAGTGGGCCAAGGGGCAGTGGCAGGCAGGGGCCAAGGGGCAGTGGGCCCAGGAGCAGTGGGATCAGGGGTTGTGGGATCAGGGGCAGGGGAATCAGGGACAGGGGAATTAGGACCAGAGGAATTAGGGTCAGGGGAATCAGGGGCAGGGGAATCAGGGGCAGGGGAATCAGGGGTACGGGAATCAGGGGCACGGGAATCAGGGGTAGGGGAATCAGGGGCAGAGGGATCAGGGGCAGGAGGGTCACAGGTAGTGGGATCAGAGGTAGTGAGGTCAGAGGTAGCGGGGTCAGAGGTAGTTAGGTCACAAATAGGGAATTCAGAAGCAGTGGGGTTAGGGAGAGAGGTTGAGGATTGCGAGAGTAGGAGTACGGGCGATGGGGATGGACGGAAGGATAAGAAGGAGAAGAGGGAGAGGAAGGAACGGAAGGAGAGAGAGAGGCAGGAGAGAAAGGAGAGAAAGGAGAGGGAAAAAAGGGAGAAGCGGGAGAAAGGGGAGAAAGGGGAGGATAGGGAGGAGAGGGAAGAGAGGGAGGGGAGGGAGGGGAGGGAGGAGAGGGATGAGAGGGATGAAAGGGAACAGGAGCAGGTGGAGTGCCTTGACAGGAAGGATGCACGAAGAGCAGAAGTGGGAGGAGTTCAGAGGAGTGCGGATGGCAGAAAGCGAGGTGACTGGTGTGATGAAACAGGTGGTGCGGACTATGGTGAGGGGGAGCGATGCAGAGGTGGGGTAGAAGAGGCAGCTGCAGCCGTGGAGAGAAAAAGAGAGGAGCATAGAGGCCCTCAGAATTTCGAGGCTCTGGGCGTTCTGGAAGGCAGGGCGGGCGACAAGCACTAAACGGAGATGTGGCAAGTGTGGGGAGGGTTGAGGAGGGTGAGGAGGGGAAGCCGGTGAAAGCAACAGAAGGGTCAATGGGCCTGCAATAACCAGTGAAGCTGGTGGGTGTGAAGCTAAAGTGGGTAGTTGGGGATGCTGCAGCGGGCAAGCAGAGAGCAAGTGAGATGATATGATGGAGTGAAGCAGATCGGAACTGATCCGGGCCAGTATACAGTTTTATGGTACCTTTGTGACAGTGTACGGTAACACTTTGGCAAGGTGCAACAGTAATGTTGGTGTTCGATACGGTGTGTTACAGGTGTTTACAACAATATGGCGCCTGTTTCATTTGCTTGCATGAATCTGTAGACACGTGGCAACAGCAGCAGCAGCAGCTGAACAACCACCAGACAGCATGACATCAAACAAGCTACAGACTTCTAGAGTCAACTCAATGCTACAATTTTTGAGGCGCCTCAAAAAACAACCACCAGACGGCATGACATTTGAGTCGACTCAACAGTCACCTCTGAACAACCACCAGACGGCATGACATAAAAAAAGCCATGGAAATATAACTACAGACTTCTAGAGTCAACTCAATGCTGCAGCTCCCCCACACCGGCCACTATTTCCCCCTCTCCTCCAACGCTCCCTCGGCAGCCTCTCTTGCCGCACGGTAGGCTGAAAACACTGCTGCCAGCTCGCCTTCTCGAGCAAAGGACGCGCCCTCTGTCAGCAACCCGCCTGGAGGCAGGCGGGATAAGTATACGGAAAAGAGTGGCGCAATTAAGTTGGTGTGACAAAAGCAAGCGGGCAGGAGAGGGTGCGAACATGGGTTGGAAGTGACTTTTGAGTCGACTCAAAAGGCAGGAGAGGGTGCGAACATGGGTTGGAAGTGACTTTTGAGTCGACTCAAAAGGCAGGAGAGGGTGCGAACATGGGTTGGAAGTGACTTTTGAGTCGACTCAAAAGGCAGGAGAGGGTGCGAACATGGGTTGGAAGTATGGGTGCCGCCTGCAGGTTTTGGATGTTGCAGAAAATTGCCGGGCAGCCAGCGGGGGAGTTTTGGAAAAACTCAAAAGCTCCCTACTTCTTACATGTTTTGAGTCGCTGCAGGGAGTTGTCATAGAGCCAGCATGCTGCATCGGCCTGCTCTACGTCCAATACCTCTGCCTGTGAGAGAAGCATGTGGGGCGCACAGACACATGCATGCATGCATGAGACAAGGGGCGAGGGAGACATGCATCCATGCATGAAACAAGGGGGGCCGAGGGACAAGGGGCGACAGACAAGCACAGATGCATGAGTGTTGCATGCATGGTTAGCAACCAGACGGGTGTGGTGAGGCAAGGTGAGGTGAGGTGAGGCGAGATGAGGTGAGGAGAGGAAGCATATGCAGCAGTCTGAGACAGATGCGATTTGGATGAAAGGCTGTGCCGATGATGGGTGCATGTGATGGGTGCATGTGATGGGTGCATGTGATGGGTGCATGTGATGGGTGTGGTAAAGGGGGATGACTGGCAGGAATAGCAAAGTCTTACAGCATCAGACTGAATGTGTCGTTCGATGGGGAGATGCGCAAATAGCCTGGCAGGGACTTGAGTGGGCAGAGCAGAACAGGTAGCGTGAGCATGAGTGCATCCAATCCGAAACAGGCAAAGACCTGCACGCTCAACCACCTTCACGCTCAACCACCTTCACGCTCAACCACCTTCACGCTCAACCACCTGCACGCTCAACCACCTGCACGCTCAACCACCTGCACGCTCAACCACCTGCACGCTCAACCACCTGCACGCTCAACCACCTTCACGCTCAACCACCTGCACGCTCAACCACCTGCACGCTCAACCACCTTCACGCTCAACCACCTGCACGCTCAACCACCTTCACGCTCAACCACCTTCCCAGCCCGGCCCTGCCCTGCCAGCCTGTAACTTCTGCAGCAGCGACACACTCGTCCCCCCCGCCCCCCCCCCCATCCCTCCCATCACCTTCCAACACACCCACCCAATCACCCACCCGTGCCACTCACTTCTGTTTCATCACTCGCAACTGCTGCTCCACCAGCCTCCTCGCCTGCCCCGCCCTCTGCTGCAAACCCGCCTGCAGCTGCTGCGGCAGCGGCACCGCCCCCACCACAAACGCCGACGAGGGTGGAGCGGGAGTGTGAGGGGAGGAGGAGGAGGAGGCAGGGGGGGGAGCAGAGGGAGGGGAAGAGAGGGGGCCGAAGAAGAGAGCTTGCAGGGAAGCAACGGCATCCCATGCCTTGTGGTGAGGTGCCTCTTGCACAAAGAGGAGCAAGAGACGAACGGAGTCTGCAGAAGAGACGGGTGGTGGAAGGAAGTGGGAAAGTTTGGCAAAACGAGGAATCCGTGTAAGTATATGCAGGATAGTGGTGGCATGGCATGGCATGGCATGGCATGGCATGGCATCGCATCGCATCGCATCTCATGCCTTACGGTGGGGGGGCTCTTGAGCAAAGAGGAGCAAGAGGCAACGAGAGTCCGCAGGAGAGAAGGGCGGGGAAGGGGAAGGGGAAGGGGAAGGGGAAGGGGAAGGGGAAGGGGAAGGGAGTGTGGGGACTGAAAACCAGACTGGCGTCATCAGTGGTATCACATGATCAAGGCACAGAGGAACATCTCGTCAGAACGTCGTCTCACCAAGGGGCAGGTAGATGAGGGTGGGCGGATAGGGCGCGGTGCGCTGCGTGTGGAAGAGGCAGTAGAGAGTGAACACCGCCCCCACTGCCGCCAGCAGACGCTCCCCCACAAACACACGACCCTCCTTCCCCACTCCCCCCTCCTCCCCTCTTCCCCTCTCCTCCCCTCTCCCCCCCACCTCCTCTCGCGCCCCTTCTTCCTGTGCATCATCTCCCTCCCTGGCTTCTCGTCCTTGGCCCAGTGGCACAGGCACAGCCCCTGCTGCTACACGCGCTGCACCTCCATCCGCAGCACCACTGGCAGGAGAAGTGGCAGCAGCAGTACCAGGTGCAGCGGAGACAGCGGCGGCAGCGGCGGCAGCGGCGTCAGGAGGAGTGGGTCTGCGATGAATGGAGGAGGCATGGCAGCCGGATGGCACAGCCTGCAAGAACCCTGCAGCGTCGTCAGTTCATTGCACAATAGCACCGGTAATGCCGGTAACTGAGTCAGACAGGCGGATTCACCCAAGGCTGGTTTGCTCTCCCACCCGCCGCAGTCCCAGCAGGCCGTTCTAATAGCTCACTTGAAAGACGTTACGGCGGCTCATTTAGGCCGTTCGAAGAGCTCACCTAAGGCCGTTCCGTAGAGCAGCTGCAGGAAGCGGCGCGGGTCGATGTCTTTAGGGCACGCGTCGTGGACGAAGGAGAAGCGGCGCGCTCGCCATACGGCTTTAAATGCCGCCAGCGACGGATCGCCGCGCTGCGAAGGGGGAACAGAGACGATGCAGCTTTTTATCAAGGAGCGCTATTGAACTATGAAGGCGGGAAGCGGTGTGGATGGTGGCTAACTTTCTTGCCACATAGTCAAACGTTCATATGAAAAGGCCGCCGGGAACCTACTACCTACTACCTACCTTCACATAGTCGCGCAACAGTTCCTCGACGTCACGCACGTATCCCGGCACCGCCACTTCCTCCTCCTGCACCTCCTCCATCGCCGCACCGATGCTAGCGGAGTGGCTACAGTGGCCTGGCCCCGTGAAACGGGGGGGGAGGAGTGGAACGAGAAAATGGCGGCGTTTTGCGTTGCTTGCTGACTGCTTTACACGGAAAGTACTCACTTTTACGCGGCACGTGAGTATAGGCGTGTAGTGTAATTGGATTATGTTTTCCAATCCAGTTGGTTTGTGCAGATAGCGAATCACATTCAGGAGTGAGGGGCTTGGGGAGGGGGAGGGGGTTGTGGGGGGGAGAACGAATGATTTGGGAGGGTGCGCGCGCCAAGTTCTGCAGGGGAAGAGCGCACCAGGCGGAGGCGGTGTAGAGGAACAGTCGACAATCCAGAAGCGCTGGGGCGAATCAACGAGCATTCTTGCTAGGTTCTGTCACGTGACAAGCAGCTCCCAGATGGCCGTTGCCCTCCAGTTGATCCAGCGGGCAGCATGGCTCCTGACCGTAAACCCTCGTCATTGGTTGTCATCGGGAAAAGGTAAGCCGTGGCGTGATATTTCTGCGTCAGACAACCTCGTTGTGGATAGGGGCTCCGCTTTTCATGTGGTCCAGATTTGTTTTCGCGTCGGTTGTGGAATCGAACGATGATGTGGCGTGGGTGGTGAAAACATCGCTCCACCGCCATCGTGTGAGGTCAGGAGTTGTTGTGGGGCTGGATCAGCGTTCTTTGAAGCTCGGACACCAGACAGTGTGTTTCCTCCTTAGAATAATTGTCCCGGAGGGTATTTTACCCAAACAGCCCCACTTTCAAATGATACGGAAACGAGTCTCGCACCTCAGTACAACAGAATGGGACTCAAATTCTTACTACACTCCAACATCGTGCAGAAGATTCTAAAACCCATACTTCCGAAACTAGAATCTTCACAACATGTCTAGACTTCTATTGTGGGTATTACAAGAACGCCATCCAATTTCCAAGACCCTGCACTGCCAGCAAAGCACCAACAGAACAATCCATACAGTGGCATCAATATACTGTATGTTGTTCCGCAGCGGCCCAATGCAGCCATCAGCATACCCAAATCTTGCGGATCAAGTAGGTATTGGTTCCAGGGGACTGTGCCCTGGGTAAGTAGTGTACGTGTACAAAATGCCTGCTCTTAAAAAAGGATGTAACGGACTCTTTGGAGTACCTTTTTGGTCGGGTGCTTGAAGGATAACTACCTGTCAATTGCACAAGTATCAGCCCCAAATCAGCGAGCCGAAGCCACGGATTGTTTTCCGCGATATTTGCTCCTGTCCCGAAAAAGCGTCAAACTTTCCGAACTGCCTTCTGCTGGAAAAAGGTCCTAGCCTGAAGATATTTCCGGTCAGAATGCGTGCCTGGTTTCTGGCGTTCCCCATCTTTGTGATGATCCCCGTGAGCCGTTGCTTGTTGGCTTGGCAGCATAGCAGAATCGCTCGCAGGTCGGGTCGGGGACTTGGGAATCGCGGGACACTCTGATCAGCCCAGGAGGACCACTGGGCAAGTGAAGGGTTTCTCATGGCTGCTGCTCAGCTTTGGTGTTGTTTTGCTCCAACTGAATGGCTCCAGCTTGAAACCAACCTCCACAAAGATGCGCCGTGCAGAGAAAGATATGGAGAGTTGAGAGGATTGCAAGCCACCAAGGTCACATTATAGAAGCTCAATCCGCAAAACGAGACCCCAGCTCAGGCAGCTCACTGCGTAATGAGAGATCAGAAGCTAATATACTACCGATGTCTGCTGATCCGATTGATACGTAATCGTTTACCTTCATTTCATAGCCGTTCAGTGGTGTTTTCTGCTGGTTTGTGAAGATTCTACGATAGTGACAGTTCTTCATCGTTAACTCTTGCGCACCAACCGTTCCCTGCATCCATACGAAGTCCTTAACTCACCACGGTGCTCCTAAACACAATTAGACATGCTAGATTCTTCAGGTCGGCCGCTGCCGCTGCAGCAACAGCAGCAGCCGCAGCAGCAGCCTCAACCACAGCAACCGTCGCAGCAGCAGCGTCCATGTGACGTGGCGACGTTTCAGCGGAGCAGCGTCCACATATTGTTGTCGGATAAGGACAGCGACTCGCGAAGCAGCGTGTTGGAGCTGCTCCGGAGTTGTTCATACCAAGGCAAGCGACCTACACAAAGTCGTGTTTTTTTGTGACCAGGAGGGTGTTGAAAGAAGTCAATCAGTCCGCCATTGCACTTTCCGAGCGTGTTGAAAGGTGTCGCTGACATGTTGAACACCAGCGGCTCCAATGTCGCTGACACCTTTCAACACCCACCTGACAAGTTCTTTGTTCTCCGTACATTCCTCTTTCATGCCGTGTCTTTCGTAGCCGTTAATTACCTTCCTCCTCCCTCCGCGCCTTTTTTTTTTCACGCTGGCTCTCTTCCTCCTGACTCCCAATCCTGCCGACATTCCTGCAGTGACGGCTGTGGAGAATGCTCGATCAGCGCTGCAGCTGCTTCGGTCCGGCACGGCGGCGATCGACCTGATTCTCGCGGAGGTGGAGCTGCCCAACGGCAAAGGCATGAAGATGCTCAAGCTCATCGCGCGTGAAGAGCGCCTTCGGAAGATTCCGATAGTCAGTGAGTGCATGGCTGCCGCATTATGGCTGTCGTTAATTATCTCTCAAACAAACGAAATTGTATGCGTCGGTCCTGCAGCTATCTTTTTCGATGCTTTCTTGAAAAAATCCCTGCTGCAGGCATTGTCTTTTGTCTTCGCGAGTACTTTTTTCGTAATTCCGTGGACTTCTTCCTCATGCTGTGCCATTTTGCGCCAATATCCGCGCTATCTTTCGCGCTCTTTTATATCCCTGCGTGCCCTATCAGTGATGTCGGCGCGCGACGAGATGGCCATCGTCGTGCGCTGTCTGCGTCTCGGCGCGGCGGATTTCCTCGTGAAGCCATTGCGGACGAACGAGCTCCTCAACCTCTGGACGCACATGTGGCGCCGCCGCCGATCCGTGAGTGATGCTTTTGAGTCGACTCACATGTGGCTACTACTTTCGCGTTTCATTCCGTATCACCGGTACTCGCTTTCCCTACGCGTTTGGTTCCAAACGTCCTTACAGCAAGAAACGTGCCAAGTGTTTATCGCAATACCGCCCTCTTGTTCAATTCAACGTGTTCCCCTTCCCTGCGATGTTCGCAACATGACATGTGTGGCGCTCATGGTTCCCTTCTCGTCAAGCAGGCGTCTTGCAAGGTGCGCACCAACGCTGCCGCCTCTGCTTCACACATGCTGTTGAAACAGCCCATTTGCACCTCTTTTGTGCTTCACACATGCTGTTGAAACAGCCCATTTGCACCTCTTTTGTGCTTCACACATGCTGTTGAAACAGCCCATTTGCACCTCTTTTGTGCTTCACACATGCTGTTGAAACAGCCCATTTGCACCTCTTTTGTGCTTCTCACATGCTGTTGAAACAGCCCATTTGCACCTCTTTTGTGCTTCTCACATGCTGTTGAAACAGCCCATTTGCACCTCTTTTGTGCTTCTCACTCGAAGCACCCTAACTCCATCCGTGCAACTCCTCACCATTTTCCTCATCTCTCCCTATCGTTATCGCCCATGGGCACCTCATGCGCGTTCGTGCGTGCAATGGCACTCCCCGTCGCTAACCACTCGCACCTGTGTTGTTTCTCTTGCAGTTCGGCCTGACGGAGCGACCGCAGAACCTGGTGCCGGTGAGCATGAACGACCTGCCACACGACTTCGTGTTCATCGATACCAGCGAGTCCAACACCGGTACAGGCAGCACGGACTTGTTTTCCGATGAGACGGACGAGATTCGCCGCAGCAGCACGCAGCAGCTCCAGCACCAGCAGCTGCAGCTGCAGCTGCAGGAGCAGCAGGAGCAGCAGCAGCAGCTTCAGGAACTGGAGCAGCAGCAGCAGATGCTGTTGGTGCAGCAGCAGGAGCAGTTGCAGCAGTGGCGGCAGGTGCAGCAGGAGGAGGATGTGGAGCAGTGGAGGCAGGAGCAGGAGCAGATGCTGCGGCAGGAGCATCGACAACAGGAGCTTTTGTTGCAGAAGCAGCAGGAAAAACAGAAGCAGCCGTCGCATCAACAACAGCACGACCAACAGCAGCAGCAGCAGAATCAAGAGGGGCAGAAAGAAGTTCAGCGACAACAGCAGCAACAGCAGGAACATCATGTGCAGGCGCAGCAAGAGCAGGAACAGAAGCTAGCGGTTGAACAGAGCGGGCAGGTGCGGAAGGGGGAAAGGAACCCGGTTGTCAGAGGGAAGGTAGCAGCAGTGGCAGCAGTCGACAATGAGCCAGGCGGGCAGGGTAATAGCCGCAGTGACGCACAGGCGAAGCAGGGGGGTGGTATTGCGCGCAGAGAGCAAGTGGTGCGCGCACAGAAAAGTGGGAAAGAGAAGGGTGAGGAGGTGCGGAGAGAGTTGAAGAGGGGAGGCGAAGGGGAGGCGAAGGCGAATGGGGAAGGGAGAAAGGCGGTGAGAGAAGCATGTGACGCGGTTGCCTCGAGGCGCGTGTGCGTGGATGATGCAGTTGGGATCAGTGGAGTGAAGCAGGCAGGCAATGTTGGGCGAGAGGAAAATGAGACTGTGAAGGGTGCGGCACACGAGGCACAGCAGCTGGGGAACGATGAAGAGAGCCGGGGGAGGATGGGAGGAGGACATGCAATGGATGAGGAGAGTGACGATGGCGCTGCTGCTACTCTTGCTGGCGCTGCTACAGCCACCGCTGCGTCTGCGGATGCTGATGCTGCTGCTGTTGGTGGGTTTAGCAATCGCGAGGTGGAGGGAAGAATGGGCGACCAGAATGAAGGGATACAAAGCTGTGACGAGAATGCAAGGGCTCGGCAGGTGAGCTTATATTCCATATGTGGGGTCGTAATGAGTGAGCTTTCTTGGCTATCATATCGAGACTCATATATTCCTCCCACTGCTGCTCGTTGTTGCCCTCTGCTGGCTGTGACTGATGCACTGGTGCCGTATCTCTTTTACCTCTGCTCATTCGGAAAACGTTTCCCACTTTTCCACCATCTGTCTGACAATCAATCTCTCCGGTTTCTCCTCTCCTGCCTCTCCCCTTGGATCATCCCTGCAGCCATCACCGCACCTGGAACTCTCTCTTATGCCGCCTCTCACTCGCCGACTGCTCCCTCCTCCATTCCTCCCTCCTCCTCCTCCTCCTCCTCCTCCTCCTCCTCCTCCTCCTCCTCCTCCTCCTCCTCCTCCTCCTCCTCCTCCTCCTCCTCCTCCTCCTCCTCCTCCTCCTCCTCCTCCTCCTCCCACACCTCCTGCACTTAACACCTCAGCAGCGCTCGCCGCCTCTACTTCCTTCAACCCATCCCTGCTTGGCTGCTCTCCCTTCACTGGCACTCCACTGCTCTCATCCGCAGCGCCAGTCAACGCCTTGCTGGGTCCATCCGCGCCTTCTCTCAATGCCTCATTGCTTGCTTGCTCCATAGACCTGAGCACCCTCGCTGCTACCACCACGCCACCAGGTAAGCCGCTCTCCGCACCGCACCGGGCAAGCCAGAGTTCTCCACGCACCGGTTTCAAGTTGAAACTTTCAACATCACTTCCCCTTGAATAAAGCGGATCTTTCCTTTCCTGGTGACCCTTCAGTTGTACATTGGGCATGTCCTTTCCAATTTCCATTTCGTTCCTTTTCTTGTCACTTTCTCGTCCTGTCAATGCACTGCCGTGTTCAGGTCCTTCTGCGGCTGTTGGGGAGTTGCCAGCTGCACGCCTTGCTCTCTCTGCCTCCACCGCTGCTCACTCATCCGCGGCCCATGCTGCTCTGCCCGAGCTAACAACAGCAGCAGCAGCAGCAGCAGCAGTAGAAAATTGCACAGCAGCAGGAGGCGTGAGGTCGCTGCTGCCTGCTCTGGTATCCACCAGCACGCTTGCACTCTCTGCAGCACCAGCACCAACCGCTGCAGCACCAACCACCGCAGCACCGACCACTGCAGCACCCATGCCGCTGGGGAGCACTCTTCCCACAGGCCTCGCCCTGAGTGCACCTCTCGTGCGTCCACAGCCCCTGCATGTGACACCACATGACAAGGGCCCCACTCAAGACAAGTCCTTGCCACTTCTCACCGCTCCTCCCCTGCCGTCCATTCCCCCTGCCCCTGGTCTGCCATGGCTTCTCGGCTCGATTCCAGGATCCAGGGGTCCCAGAACTCCTCTGCTCCCCCCCACGTTCCTTCCCCCACTGCCGGCAAGTGTTGCCCCTTATGATACTGCTGCCTGTGCTCCTGCCGCAACTATTGCCCCGGCCACTGGCGCTGCTGCTGGCGCTGTTGAGGGTACCGCCACTTGTGCTGGTGCGCATGCCCTTGCTCCTGCTGGCGTAAGAGCTGGTGATTTCGTGCTGGTGCCTGATGCCAGCATAACCAAGGCGCCTGGTGATGCTGCTACCGATTCTGCCACTGGTGGTGCTACTGGTTCTGGTGCTGCAGGTGCTGTTGGCTGTGCTGGTGGCCCAAATGCTACTGATGCTGCTGCTTCTGCTGCCGTTGCTGTTGCTGCTGCTGCTGGCACCCGAGCGGCTCTCTTCAAGCAGGGGTTTTTCAGTGCGCTCCTCACTGCACCAGATGCTCCTCTGCAGAGCTCCTCAAGTCGCAGGAACGACGTGGGGTGTGGTGCAGGGCGAGGCGGTGCAGGGCAAGGCGGTGGAGGACGAGGAGGGAAAGAGAGAGCGGATCCAGAATATGAGGAGGCAGAGGCGGACGGAGAGGGTAAGGCAGAAGGAGGGCGCAGAGCAGGAGAGAAGGTGAGGAGGCAGGTGGAAGGATCGGGGGAGACAGGCAGGGAGGGCGAGGTGGGTTCAGGAGCAGCAGTAGCACCCACAGCAGCAGCATCAACTGTACCAGCAGCAGTACCAGCATCAGGAGCAGGTGCAGGCGCAGTAGCAAGAGCAGTAGAGCTCCCGGCTTCAATCCCCCTGCACTCACTGCACAAACCGCCTACGCCAGGGGGGGAGGTGAGAGGCGTGGCAGGCAGAGAGTCCACCAAAGCACCTGCCACAGCGCGAGGGAAAGACAGCTCCCCTGCAGGCGCATCTGGGGGAGGCGGTGCGCCAGGCAGCGGGGGAAGCAGAACTGGGGGCGGAAGGGGGCCAAGTCTAGGAGGAACGGGGCGAGGCGAGGTGACTCAGCAGCTGCAGGCGCTGCAGGCACAGGACATGTGTGGCAATGGCTGTGGCAGCAGCAGCCGGGCTACCGACTACTCTCCGTACAACAACCCTGTAGTACCGGTGCAGGCAGGCACCCTTGCCAGTGCTGGCAGCAGCATGACTGGAGGACAGCTGGCGTCGTCCAATTGGTGGGGCAGCACCGGCTCCGGCACAGGCATGGGCACAGGCATGGGCATGGGGACAGGCATGGGCATGGGAACAGGCACGGGGCCTGCTTGGGACAGCAGCTCGGTGTTTGCTGGCGCTGGTCCCTCCAGCACCACGCCTGGCGTTGATGGCTTCACCGCTGCTGCGGCTGCTGCAGCTGCTGCTATGGCAGCTGCTGCTGCTGCCACTGCAGCTCCGTCCTCCTCCCACCCATTCGCAGGGCTCCTTCCGAACCAGCCTGCCGGCCCTCATCCTTTCCCCTCCCACTCCTTCTCCCACCCTCTGCAATTCCTCAACTTCCACCCCTCTCACACTCTCAACCAGGACTTGCAATCACCTCCTGACTCCCTGAATCCCCCATCCTCCTCGCTCATCCCCTTCCCGTGCACGCTCCCTCCATTCGCCAGTCACATGCAGAATCAGCAGCAGATGCTGTCTCAGGGCCAGCAGCAGAACCTGCCACCGCCGTTCCAGCACCTGCCACCACACATAGCAGCCGCTGCTGCTGCTGCCGCAGCTGCAGCAGCGGCCTCTGGGCTTCCCCCTCAGCACCCACTAACTCAATCCCTTGCTGCCGCTGCCGCTGCCGCTGCCGCCCTGCCGGGAAACCAGCTGACACAGACCCCTCACTTCAACCACCCGCAGCATCACTCCCACCCGTTTTTTGCCGCTGCGGCTGCAGCAGCAGCAGCCTTCCCTCACCTCCCTCCAGAAGCAGCAGCAGCAGCTGCGGCTGCAGCAGCTACTGCCAACCTGCACATGTCAACAACCGGCATGTCGACCCTTCCTCTTCCCACTCCTCCGTCAACCCATTCTATGTTCTCGCATGACCTGCAAGGGACTGGCAGTGCAGGACCCCTACCCCCAACCTCCACAGCAGCAATCGCCTCGGTTCAAGCCATGCCCATCCTTCCTCACAACCCCTTCTCCTTATTCTCTGCAATCTCTCCTCCCCAGCCGTCCCTTGCTGGGCCGGGGGTTCTGCACTCTGCCACACAGCCTGGACACCTTGCTGACATGGCGGCGGGTGTATCCTTGCTGGGAGCGGGTGGGGGAGGGGATGGGGGGACAGGGGGTTACCCCTGGCCGGGGCAGGGGGGAGGGTTGCATTTCTCTGCAGCGTCAATGGCTGCGGCAGCAGCGGCTGCTGCTGCAACAGCTGCATCAGGAGGTGGTATGGGAGGGTGTGGTGGAGGAGAAGCAGGTGGGGGAAATGTGGGAGGTGGTGTTGGTCCAGGGGGAGGGGGGGTGCAGATGGAGAGGAGGGTTGAGATGTATGATAGGAGGGAGGCAGCGCTGAGCAAGTTCAGGCAAAAGCGTAAGGATAGATGTTTTGAAAAGAAAATTCGGTATGTGAGCCGGAAGAGGCTCGCTGAAATGAGGCCGAGAGTGAAAGGGCAGTTTGTGAGGCAAACTGGTGGTGGGGCATGTACGTCAGGGATGGGGAGGGATGAGGAAATGGAAGAAGATGAGGAGGAAGAGGATGATGGAGATGGTGGTTACTAGCAAAAACTGAGGTGCGCCACGAATGATTTGTCTGACTACAATTAGATTTTTGCGGCCTGACAACATGGTCATCCGCACAAATTGATTTATTCGTTTTTGACTTGCAAACAAACATGGTTATCAGTAAATCTGTGTTTTATCCATGTGGTACTTTCTATAATATGGGATGTGTAACATTGTCTGTCTGTCCACTTTGTTAGTATTGGCTGATTGGCCCACGCGTTCGCCGTGTATACCTCGCGAGCCAGCTTTCTTTGACGCAACGAGTGGGTGCGGTTTCGCCTGGGCCTTCGCATCTGCCTCAAGTTCGCGGTCTCTTTCGCGACCACGTCATCGCTTCGCTGGTCCCATCTGCCCTCGTGGTCGCACGTGCCTATGCTGCCTTTTCGCACCAAGCGAAGATGTCTACTCCCCTGCAATTGGTTGAGCCCCTTCTCATCCTCGTTTGCGTGCCGCTCGGTATAGCAGACCTCGGGCCTACCTGCGTGCTGATTGGTTTGGGCCACAGAACTACGGAGAGGCCACCCTCCTAGGAGTCTCCTTGTGGCAATTTCAAGGTGGAGATTTCGCTGCTTGTCCGCCTCCCACCCATTCACTCCCTTATGTTCGTAGGTACTTCTGCCTCCATTCCCTCCCCAAAGTCTCCATTTCTTGTTTGCCTTGAGTGGGAGCATATCATTCCTCAAGAGTCTGACATTCGGCAGAGGAGGACCTGCTTGCTCTCCGAGTCCTCTCAGAGCTACCGCAATTCTGATGACAAGCGTGTCCGAAGTAATATTTTCATCCCACAACGACAAGAGCACGAAGCACTAGCAGGAGTAAATTGAGTGAACTCCCGGAGAGCTAGAAAGCTGGGACGTGCTCAAGCGTCCTATCGGCATTAGTTCAGTAATTTCAACGGTCGGAATCGGTTCAGGCCACAATCGCCGGGACGTAATCGCCTCTCTGGAGACCAGGGCTTCCCCCCCTTCTTGCCATGGCTCTCTCACTGTCGGATATACCCCTCGCTGCTCGGGCGACAGGAGCCGCCATTACAGATTCAGTAACGCTCGGTCACGCGTCTCGCGTCGACATTCGCCTCGATGCCGCGTCGCTCTCTCTCACCCCGGCCGCGAGACGCCTTCGTTGCTCTCGGCTCTCCGCAAGTCAAGCCTCGCTCCGTTTTAAGCCTCTCCGTCACGCGAACGGTAGCAATGCTCGCGCGGAGACCACTTCTGTCAACTCCACCGCTGCTGCTCACTCCGTCGATAACTCTTTATCAACAGCTCTTTCCGAAATTCAGCTTCCGTCATCGTCTTCCGTGCCGCCATCTGCATTTGAAAGCGAAAACAAAGGAGGTGCGAGGAAGAACAGGCGAAAGGGTAGAAGGAGAGCCGTCGACGAAACTCTTCAGAATGAGAAAAGCTGTATTCAGGAAGGCGTCAGGCCGGCGAATCTGAGCCCTTCTGAAACGTCGGACGCGGCGTTCGTCGCGGCTCTCACGTCCCTAGCAGCTACTCCAGAGAACGGGCGGAGGAAAACGCAGGAACGCGAGCAGGGGGACGATGCGCATACCAGCAGCTCCGATGCCAATCTAGCAGCACTTCTCGGAAATGATTCAGCGTGGAAAACCGGGCTGACTGGAGGCGATGTGTCCCCCGAGTCTGGTTCGTCGTCACGGTTCGGCGCCCATGCCAGTGACTCTGGTTCGGCTGGTGCAGCTGACGTGGCCGGCGCGGGGAAGGCGCAGCAGATCGCGGGTGATCCGTACGGGAAGAGGGTGCTGGGGCGGGCCGTCGTGCAGTGGATGGCGCGCGGGATTGCGCGGATGGCGCAGGACGTGGCGGAGCGGGAGGCGCGCGGAGAGGAGGGGTTGGAGGGGGTGGCTGCTGGCGGAAGCATGGCGGTGCTGGCGCTGGCGCAGGATCACCTGCAGAGGTGAGCGATGCCGTTGGGTTGATTTAACTACCACAGATAAGTGTGCGTGATTCTTCCCCTTGATGCCTTCTATCTATAGTTGGCGTACTCATTAGGGATAGTCGTGTGTCATCGTTGCGTCTCCTCCATTATTCACCGCCCTTCTCCCTTTCGTCTGTCTTCCTCTCGAGCAGAGAGCCGATGCCAGATGGCGAGCAGCCGCGGTGCCACGTGGCGATGAATCACTACCCCACGGTACTGGACCATCTTCAGCGGGAGCTTCAGGCGGAGCTCAAGAGACGACATGCACAGCAGGCGGGTACGGGGGAGCAGCAGATCAAGGCTGTTGTGAAAGCATGGAATGAGAGCGCTTCGTGGAACGTTCTGAAACAGCTCATGAAATCTGGCCAACACCGGGCTACCATCCGCCAGCCAATCAGCACTCTCGCCGCTTCAGCTACCGCCTCCCAGAAGCGCCAGACAAACCTCGCCGCCCTCCTCTCCCCCTCCGCACTGCAAGCCGCCCAGCAGCGAATCAACGCCTACGTGGCAACGGCCGCGGAGCTCCTCCAAATGGAACGAGACGCTGAGCTGGACGCAGTCGCTGCTGAGGTCAGCAACACCCAGTTAACAACTGCCTCCAGTCGTCCAGAGACTGAAGCCATCAGCGAGGGTGCCAAAGAGAGGAGGAGGCGCAAGGAGCGAGGGGAGGTGGAGAGAGGGCTGGCGAGAGAGGGGGGCACTCTGACGGACTTAGTCGCTGTGGGAACGTCTACTGGGCTGGCCGGCGTGCATCTCATCACCCTCGCTTCCCCCAGCTCGGGTCTCCTTTCCGCCTCTACCCTCTCCCCGGGCGACGCCATCTGTCTCTCCCCTGATTGGTCCAAATGCAGCCGCATCGGCAGTGGGAGCAAGGCTGGTGCGCGTGCTGCTGCAGCAGCGGCGGCTGCTGTGTGCCACCGAGGGTATGTGCACGAGATGGGGGAAGATGGGCAGAGCCTCGTGGTTGCACTGGACGGGAAGCTTGGCGTGGGCAGCAGCGGCACACGCAGTGGAGCGGGCACAAGTGGGTCGGAGAGTGAAGGGGAGGGCGGCAGCAGCAGCGGCGGGAGAGGGGCGTTCTCACCGCTGTATTTGCAGGAGCTCTTTGGCGTGGCGCTCAGAGTGCAGCGCATGTCAGGACTCGTGGACTTCACAACGTTCGAGGTGAGTCTCTTTCTTGAGGTGCCTCAAGAGCTGAGAGCCTAGTATGCACTGCTGCCACTCTCAAGACTGCCAGCATTATCAGCTCCTAGCGTCGACCTCACAAGCCCCTCATCCGCTTCATGCTCTTCTTTTTTCCTTTCCCTTGCACATCTTCCCCCCCTCATGTCTCTGTGCCCCTCGTCTCGAATGCCCCCCGCCCCGCCCATCCTCCCGCCCACTCCCCATCCCCACCTGGCAGCGCAATTGCGAGGCACTGGAGCGACTCAAAACGTTCGCGCTCAAGCCCAAGAGCCCTGCTCGCGCCGTCGCTGCTGCCCTCTTCGCTCTCCCCCTTGCTGCTGCCCCTGCAACAGCTATACCACCAACATCCCCTGAAGCATCTGGAAATGCAGCCAGCACCGTCTCACCATCGCTATCCTCGTCCCCCCTGCCCTCCTCACCCTTCTCATCCTCCTCATCCTCCTCCCTGACCTCAGCATCCGCCTCTCCCTCCTCTCCTCAACCCTCCACCCTCTCGTTCGACCCCAGTCAGCTGGCAGCCATTCATCTCGCCCTGGACCCTGCCCGCCCTGTGGTGGCCATTCAGGGCCCCCCAGGCACCGGCAAGACGTCCGTTGTCACGGAGATTATTGCCCGGGCAGTCAGAGAGGGGCGCAGAAGGGAGAGGGATGAGGAGGAAAAGAGGCAGGAGGAGGAGGAGGACGAGGAGGAGGAGGAGGGGGAGGGGGAGGTGGAAGGTGGGCGGGGGATGGACACTGGAAAGCAAGCACCAGGTGATGCAAGGACGAAGCAGCTGCGAACAAAGAAGCACCGGGTGCTGGTGTCAGCGCCCACCAACGCGGCAGTGGACGTGCTCGTGGAGCGCCTAGCCTCCCAGGGCCTGGCAGTCGCTCGGGTAGGCAACCCCATGCGCCTCTCCCCTACCGTCACGCCCTACTCCCTGGACCACCTTGTGGCCGCCCGCCTGCGCTCCTTCCACCAAGACGTTGCCCGGCGCCGCCGCGACCTCAGGTCGGATCTCCGCGCTGTCGGCTCCGACTCCGCCCTGCGCTCCGCGCTCCAGAAGATGCTGCGGCGCCTGGCGCGCGTGGAGAAGCAGCGGGAGAAGGAGGAGGTCGCGCAGGTGCTGGGGGAGGCCGAGGTGATTCTCTGCACCACCACGGGGGCCGGGGAGAAAGTGGTGCAGGACATGGCGAGGCAGGAGGGCGGGTTCGACCTGGTGGTCCTAGATGAGGCAGGGCAGGCAACGGAGCCGTCTAGCTGGATACCCTTACTGCTGGGGCGACGAGCTGTGGTGGCTGGGGATCCGTGGCAGTTGGCGCCTACAGTGCAGTCTGTGGAAGCCCAGCAGCGGGGGCTGGGGGTTTCGCTCATGGAGAGGATTCAGGAGGAGGGGCTGCTGGGGAGTGGTGGGGGAGAGGGGACGGTGGAGAACGGTGGGGAGCGGTGCGATGGCAGTGTTGCTATGCTGCGAGTGCAGTACCGCATGCACCGAGCCATCTCGGACTGGAGCTCTGAGGAGATGTACCACGGGCAGCTCATGGCCTCGCCTGCTGTTGCCAACCGCACCTTGGCTGACATTACACTGCCTTCTCCTCCTGGCCCCCACTCCTCCTCATCATCATTCCCCCAGTCCTCCTCCCACTCCCTCCCCCCTCTCCTAGCCCATCCAATGCTTCTGATCGACACGCGCTCCCCCCGTGGTCTGCTGCACGAGCACTGCGAGGAGGCGCCTGATGCAGCAGGCACGGGGTCGCTGGTCAACGAGGGCGAGGCCGACTTGGTCGTGGATCACGTCGCTCGTCTTATCTCAGCCGGCGTGCCACCCGGGTCCATTGCTGTGCAGTCGCCGTACCTCGCCCAGGTGCAACTCATCCGCCAGCGCCTCGAGGAGCGCCTGGGCGGCATCGTTTGGCCGCACGCTGTGGCTCGGGAGGCCGGGGAGGGAGAGGGAGGAGGAGGAGGGGGTGCTGGGGAATGGGATGTGGGGGCGGTGGAGGTGGCTAGTGTGGATAGCTTTCAGGGGAGGGAGGCAGACGCTGTCATTATCTCCATGGTGAGTCGTCTTCCTCTGCAGGCAAGCATGTTTTTCTGGTGTGAGAAAGTGATGGGGTCATGCTGATGCCAAACATGTGAGTCTGTCTGGGTCAGATGCAACAGGTTAAAGTGCTGCTGGGAAATGGACTCTGCATTGTCTCACACCGCTTTCTCTCCTCCCTCGGCAATTAACCCTTGCAGGTTCGGTCCAACCCATATGGTTCAGTCGGGTTCCTCGGGGACCGTCGCAGAATGAATGTAGCGGTGACACGCGGCAGGCGCCACGTGGCCGTTGTTGCTGACTCAGCAACGGTCGGTCACAACTCGTTCCTCCGCCGCCTGCTCCTCCACATCCGCTCAGTGGGAAGAGTGGCTGGGGCCCACGAGCTGGATTTTGTCGATTCTACACCTGTCACATCAGCGTCATCATCCACGACAGCGGGGGAAGTGTATGTACCGCGTACATTCTCCCCACCATCTCTGGCAGCATCATTTGAACCAGTGTACTCATCTGGACGTGCACTGAGTCAATCCCTCTCAGCTGTGGCTGTTGCAGCATCGCCTACTAGCTTGCCAGAGGGTTATAGTGGGGCCTTGTCAGCTCCTCCCAAATCTGGAGCATCTACCAACCCAAGCTCCATGGTTAAATCACGAGCTGGGCCCTTGGGCCCTCGAGTGGTGGCTCGTCTCAGGAAGGGATGATTTGAGATTGAATACCAATGAATGGGCTGATTCATAAATATGTAAATCGCTGTTGCTTTCTTGTACTGCCTTTATTGAATTCATACCCCTTATAAAGCAGAACGAATCATACTTCCTAAGTCATTCAGATTGCCACACTTTCCCACACGCCGCAAGCATGTTGCCTGTGTTTCTGCGAATCAGATGTCCTCACTGTAGCATGTACAATGCTGTACTGCTCTGTCAATAAGATGCTCTGACCGACGCAAAAGTCTCACCACCACACCCCACTCCCCGTTTCGACTCTCCCAGCACAACGGTATCTCCTCCTTGAAGCCTACGCATGGGTGTGGCGAATTCTGCCCTGCGCTGCGTTCTCGTTCCCTTGGTGGGTGGGTTGGTGATTCGAGCTGCGTGCCGAACTTCGGTGGCTGAAGCCACGCTGAGAAGGCCTTGGGATTTCACTGAACTGTCCGACTCCCTCCAAACCCGACATCTGCTGCATCCGCTTAGTGGAAGTGCACATCATAGCCTCGAGTTTCACCAAGTTGGCTTCTCTAGCTATTGGTAGCCGAGTTAGTTCCACAATGTTCTAGGTTTTGATTCTGTTGTCAGGTGGTCATCGTATGCCCAGCCGCTCGTGACATTTCCACACGGTAACAAGCAGTTTCTTCGATGGTACTGGGTTATGCCACACGTCTTTAGTAGCGTCTCACCTCATTCCGCTCAATCGCCTTACTTCGTTGTTCCTTCGCACGCCTCGCTTCCGCCTCGTTAAGAATGTATCTCTCGCTTTGTCGCCATACATTGTGACAAACTGTCCATTGATTTGGATGACGAATTAATTCCACAATACACCATTATCATATCGAGTGTACATGGTTGTAACCCTGTAACCTTGAAAATACCGACGCAACAACATAATGCCGACGAGGCTCGACCTCCCGGGCAGCAGCATTGACGAGCCCCCACAACGTCCGTGGGTCGAAGTTTTGGCTGGAAGGAAGATTCGTCGCGTTATGGGCGACCCCGTTAAACTCGACGCGTTCCTGTCCGGCGAGTTCGACCGGCTGGACGTGCACGCACGTGGCAGGCTCTCATTGGCTGAGATTGAACCGGCGCTGCTGCGCTTGGCGGAGATCCAGGGGCTCATTCTCCGTCCCTTCTGGGACAGCCGCATGGGGGGGCGCGGAGGGGGAAGCGGCGGAGGGGGCGCAGGCGCGGGGGAGAGGCAGAGAGGCGGAAGCCGAGGGGGAAGCGGAGGAAGAGGAAGCTGGGGTAGCAGCGGCGATTGCGGGGGAGGAAGAAGCGGGGCCGGAGAGGGAGGGAGGGAGGTGTTACCTGGCAAGGGGAAGAACGATGAGGATTTGGCCAAGGGGCTTTTTGTCTCTTTCATGTCTGCTGACCTCAGCAGCGAGATTGGGCGGCACAAGTTTGTCAGTGTCTGCAGAGATGTGATTCTCGCATCCCAAGATGCAGTCGAAGGTACGTGCACTCTTATCCCTTCTCCACGTTCCAACTTTCTCTCTTTCCGCCTTCCCCCCCTCGGTTTCTCCACCTTCCGCTGCGCGCCTTCCCCGCCCCTCGCTGCATTGCTCTGGGTTCCCAGACGGTCCATCACGCTAGTTGCTTCAGGAGAGTGCGTTGAGGGTCTCTCCTGCAGGGGGTTTTTGAGAATTCTAAAACAACATTCCAGAGGGTCCATCACGCTAGTTGTTGCAGGAGAGCAGTGCGTGCAGGGACACTCTCCTGCATCCGCTGGGGCGTGTGTTACGGATGCTACGAGGGCGAGGGAGGTCCGTTTTTGAAACGTCTCAGAAAAAACATCAGTGCTGGCAGGAGAGCAGTGCGTGCAGGGACAGTCCCCCGCGTCCACTGGGGCGTGTGTTACGGATTCTATGAGGGCGAGGGAGGTCCGCTTACACACGCCCCTGCTCCCCATTCTTCTGCACCCCCCTACCTTCCCTACCCCCCCCCCCCCCCCCCCCCCCCCCCGCCTCCGCCTCGCCTGCGGCCCTTCTCTCCCTACCCCGCCTATTGCAGAGCAGCAGCGCGCTGAGGGAGCTGTTAGCGGACGCGGACGAGGTGGGCTCGTTCATAAACACGCCGTGGACTCATTTCACCGCATTTCCATCCACTGCACTCCTCCTAACCGCCCTGCCTCCACTGTCCCCCCCATCCTGCGAGCAGAGGTTTCCCTGCCGCGGCTGCTGAAGCGCAGCATCGCGCTGAGTGAACTATTTAACAACGCGGACGAGGTTGACGCGTTTATAGACGCGCTGTGGACTCACCTTACAGCACTCCCTCTACCCCCCCCTGCCTGCACCCCTTTTCCGCCCGCAGAGGATCCTCTACCGCGGCTACTGGAGGGTAGCACCGCGCTGAGGGAACTATTTAACGACGCGGACGAGGTGGACGAGTTTATAGACGCGCTGTGGACGCGCATGGACCTGGATGGTGACGGCACCGTGACCATGCACGAGATTCGCCCCATGCTGCCTGCGCTTGGGCTCTTTCCCCAACCCCTGCCCATCTCCACCGGTGGGTTGCCCCTGCGCAGATGTGTGCGTTGGCGTGGTGGGAGAGGGAAAGGGGGAGGGGAGAACGGAAATTTTGTGTGTGTGTGTGTGTGTGTGTGTGTGTGTGTGTGTGTGTGTGTGCGTGTGTGTGTGTGTGTGTGTGTGTGGTGGCGTGGTGGGAGGCGAAGTGGATTGGGGAAGGAGCACGGGGGTGTGGGGACCATGGGAGCTGGGAGGGAGAAAGGGTGTGTAGGGGGATTGCACACACCAATGGCGCCAATGACCATGCGCGACGTGTCTCACTGTTCTTTCTTCTTCGCCCCCCCCCCCCCCCCCTCTCATGCTCCTTCCTCCCCCCACCCCGCCTGCCCGTGCCAGAGCAGGAGGATGAGATCCTGGCAGAGCTGCTGCAGACACACGCTGGATGGGGAGGGGGGCTGTTTCTTTCGCCTCATCCTTCTCACCTTCCTCTGCCCATGTCCCCTGCTCCCTTCTCCCCTCACCCTTCATCCCGCTCCCCTCTCTGCCCATCCCGCCCCCTCTCCCCGCGCCAGAGCAGGAGGATGAGATCCTGACAGAGCTGCTGCAGACATACGCGGGATGGGGAGGGGCGGAGGGGGAGAACGGGGCAGAGGAAGGCGGGGTGGAGGAGGGGGAGAGTGATTCAGCTGGAGGGGCCTTAGAGGCTTTCGGAAATGGCAGCAGAGGCTTAGAGGGCAGCAGCAGCAACGGTGGTGATGATGGCGGTGGTGGTGGCGGTGGTGGAGCAGGAGAAGGAGCAGTGGATTTCAGCATGGGGCTATCGAAGGTGCAGTTCATGTGGCTGGTGGCGGATATTCTCTTCACCGTGGCACAGGGGCTCGAGGACGACCCACTGTACCTGCCTGCCAACATGACCATTCTCAACCGCCCCTTCCTGCTCAAGGTGCGCCCTCTTTCGCATCTCAAAACTTCCTGCTCAAGGTGCGCCCTCAACCGCCCCTTCCTGCTCAAACTGTGCTCTGCACGTATGGGATGTGAACGCCGAGGATGGTCCAGTTTTTGCCTTTTCCCTACTCTATACCAACTACCCACCACCGTCTGCTTTTAGTTCAGAATCGGAGACTCACAATTGGCTTGCTGCGGCTCGAATCCTTATTCTTCTTTCACGTTTGAGACCTGAACGCTGAGGATGGTCCCCCTCGCCCTCCCTCTCCACTTGGCCTAGCTCTCTCACACACGTCCTTCTGCTCTGCCACCACCTCACAGGCCGCATGTTCCTCTCCTGAGACTCCTCCAACTGCCTTCAGTCCCACTCATTCTTCTCCCTCGACCCATCCTTTCTCCTCACCTCACACTTCCGTCCCTCCCATCCTTCTCCCTCCCTCCTCTCCACAAAGCAGATTCTCTCGGACGAGGCCTTCTTCCACCGCCTCACGGACCGCATGTTCCTCACATGGGACGAAACCGATCGCGGCATGCTCTCGCGCTCCGAGGTTGTAGCCGGCTTCTACTCCCTGGGGGTCGCCTACGGGCTCCCTGCAGTCACCTCGCGGGAGGAAGCCGATAGCATCTACCTCTCGCTCTTCCTCACAGCCGACTGCGACACAAGTGGGTTTGTGGACCGGGAGGAGTTTCAGTCGCTCATGCATTCTATCTTTCTGGGGGCAGCACTGCAGCTGCAGGCCACACGGTTACCGCCACAGCCGCTGCCGTCGCCGTTAGCTCCGGTGGGAGCTGGTCCTTCTGGGACCTCCTCCTCGTTCTCTTCCTTGTCTTTTTTCCGCCCGTTCTCCTTGTCCCTCCCCTCCATCCCATTCTCCGCTGCCCTTCCCTGGGGGGACTGTGCTGACAGCAGCACCACAGCTTTTCACAGCAGGGGCAGCAGCAGCAGCAGCAGGGGAAC